TTAGCTTTAGGTTTTAGGACTGTTTCATAGTGCTCAGAGCAGAGTTTGTTATTATCTATATTTTATAGGTGAAATATGAGGGTGTGATGAGTCAATGAATAATAAATGGCTTAGTAATGTGAACATTTAAAAATCTTTGTAACTGGGCACTTAAAGATAACATAATGCAATTTTATTTTAATGCCTGTAAATTATTTTCATTTGCGATTACACATTAGTACATTTATGTACTTTTGGACCTTGTCTTCTATGATTTATTTGTTTAGGACTGCCTTTGCATTTGGGTACCAAGTTTGCTGGCACCATCCCTGTACTGACCTCTAGAAGTTGCTCCTATGCCCACTGTTACAACCATAACAATGACTAAAACACTGTTCTACATGATATAACAAAACTCAAATGGAATGCACCATAAAATCCTGCCTCTCAGTCACACTGTTGAATAAACAGTCAGTTTATTATCTTAATTCAGAGATTTATACTATTTAATTCTATCAAAGTCATTGTGACTTTCGCTCATCCTGACCACACACCCCACTTAACCCCCGTCACACATCCCCTCCCTGGGTCGCGCACCTGAGCATTAAAAATACATAAATAAGAAAGAGGGTCCAAACAGATCTCGCAAAAACAATAAAGTGAAGTTCTGCAGTTAGGTCAATTAAACGTAAAAAAGCTTTGTTTATGTAATGCGGATTATTTAACATTAGAAAGACTACTAAAATTAATTACTAATGTTGAACGTCTCCATCGCTGCTGCTTGTTAATAATCACAACGGTGTCAGAAGCAACCAAACAGGACTTAAATGCAGGACTCAACTCGGGGAAATGAAGTCAAAAAATTAATTAATACACTACTGCACAATGAGTTGGAGCAACTGGAGAAAATTGGAAAAAAAATAAAGGCTGTTACAAAATACAAGTATAGCAACTAGCTTAGCTGCTAGGTAAGGTAGAACAAAGGCTGGAACGCTTGACAAAAGTTACAAAGACCAACTGGCAAAGAAGGCTGCAGAGGAAGAGGTTGAAATAGGTGAGGCAAAGACACAGGCGAGCACTGTCAGGGAGGCTGATTAAAGGGTAACCCGAGGAATTGAAGTAGTCTGACATGAGAACTGAAATTAGAGAAACAAAATAAAATAGGAACTTTCAAAAGTAACTGAGCTAGACTCAAAATGTCAAAAGGGAAAGAAAGAACTAATCAGCAGAGTTGCATGTGACAAACGGCCTTTTCCACAGCAGGTAGTAACTGTACCTAGTATAATACAGACATGGGAGACAGGCTTGTCAGCTAGTGTTAGCTTACGTCAGGTTCACCGTTATCACATAGCAATGGTTTTGAATGCCAAGCAACTGAAAGATATATTGTATTGAGTTACCTCCTGATCATCAGCCATGCAGTTCTTCTTCATATTCTTCTTCCTCCAATCTGATGGACCATTGCAGAGGACGGGGACTGAACTCAATCACTCGGGGTGAAGCATTGGCTGGCCATTGATATTTGATATGGTGCCAAGTTGTCGGACTTGCCCAAAAGTATCTTCGAGAGCAATTGCAGCGAGGCAAACTGCAAGTCAGCAACAGGTAAATCATAAGCGTGTGAGTAGAGAAGTTCAATGCATGCATGAGTAGAGGTGATCTACCTATGCAAGCAGAGGAGTTCTTGAGCTCTTGGGTGGTTTGTCATTTGTGCTTACTAGGGTTGTTATTCTGCGTGCATGGGTTCTTGTTTATACTCGTGGAAATTCTGGCAGGATTTAAACAGAACCAAAGAGAACCAAATACATCATTCTGCAGAGCCGGGTGGTTCACATTGGAGTAATGTCAGTCCACTCGAATTTGACTCTGACTCTCTGCCACCCCTTGGAACACCTTTGGCGGCGCTCCATGGTAGCGGCCAAGGGCAGCTCCTCTCGACAAATTTCACAAAGTATGCCGCTTTAAATTATACAAACTAGACATCAAACCCGCAGCTATGATCGCCAATGCCTGCTGGAGCTATGGTCACAGAATGTTTTAAAATACTGACACTTTTGACGGTTTAAAAAGCTGCGGAGTGCTAAGAACGGATGTTGGCGAGGCAGCAGCGGAAAATAACAGATGGAGGAGGAGATGCGCAAGACGGAAAAAGAGAGGCTGCAGAGGGGGGCTAACTGCAAAAAAAGGAGATATGTAACTGCTGCACCATCATTCTGACGGGGTCTTGGCTGCATCTAGCAGTACCGGACGGTGCTGTTGGTTTGGGGGGGTCTGATGCTGTACCATGCCGATGGAAAACAAAGAGCTCTGCGTGAATGGAGGCTCATCTGAGATTGTTCCCAGGCCATCTTCAGCATCTAGAAGGGAATCATAGCCCTCTGCAGGTGAAAATGCGGAGAGCACTCTAGATGCTTCCCTGCAAAATACTAAACCATCCCCAGCCGGCTCCTCCCAGCCCCCTCCGGCTTCCACACCTTCTCCAGCATCGTCTGTCGCTGCTAAACCTGCCGATTGCACCACTGCTGCTTCAACCACGTCAGCCTCTTCAACCCAGGGGGCTACCACCCTTACAGCATCAGCATCATTGTCCTCTTCCTCCCCTGAGCCAGGAGAAGCGAGTGTTTCAGGAGCTGGAGGCAGTTGTTGTTGAGTTGCCTCAACAACAACTGCTGCTTACTTTATCAAGGCTGCACTTTAAAAAATTTAATTGTCAAGAGAGCTGTTCTAAACGAAATTCCTTTTTGTCTACACTTGTGTATACAAAATTACACAATAAATCTGTCTAAGTCTAAGAACTCTGTCACACAAATTTGACCCAGCAGCAGATGTCAGAGTTCACAGTTTGAAAAACTACAGTAAATCCTTTAATATTGGCCTGTATTCCATTAGCGTCCGGGTCTCTAACAATGGCCGTACTCGTATACAGGCCAGGGCTATAATTAGAACCAACGATGTTCCTGGGCAGTCCTCAACAACTTGTGATAGTAACATACAAGTACCACAGGAGGGCAATGTTTGCTAACGAATCCAAGCCATTAGCATGGGATGTCCAATCCTTACACAGAGATCGTAGTGGCCTTACACAATCATTCTGATCTGAAAGACAAATGTGATTAGCGGTAGGTCTGGTGGTAACCAGGCAGCGTTAGAATGATAGAATTCCGCTGGCCTTCGTTGTTCTGAATTTCCCTTGAAATATATGATACTGGTAGCCTTCTCGCACTTAGCCTGCTTAAAATAAAATTTCGCTGTGATGGCAGAACAGTTTCCAATTATTTAAAAAAAAAAAAAACATTAGTCAGTTTGGCCAAGATTCCATTCTGTGTCTTTTTTTTTTTCGTATTGCTGCGTAGAAAAAATTGCAGCTGCTGGAAGATGTCTGAATAATGTTCTGTATACTGTTATGGTAACTGTACATTTTTAATAAATGAACCTAGTATTTTATAGGTTCAAAGAGACACAAAATCTCGTTTTTATTCATTCCATTGGTAGTCTGTTTTGATCAAATAAAAATAGAGGCCTGCCTCTAATTCTGACCTCCTTTCAATAATGGCCTGGACCAAGATGTACCTGAGTGAAGTAAAGGCCCCGTCCTATATTAGAGGATTTACGGTATATCAGATCAGGTGTCACGATTCTTGAAACTAGTGCTGGATTGATTCATCATTCAACACACCTGTCAGGTCTACTCTGCTCCCAATCAGCCTCCATCAGATTCACCTGCTCACCTGACCAGATAATCAGCTCTCACACCAGTCACTACTGCCAAAGTATGACGAGCAATCTGTGAGTTTTATCCAACTTTCCTGTATACATGTCCGCCTGATTCTGGCCTGATCGACCTCCTAATTCTCTAAGCCTAAGTGTGTTTTGGAATCTCTGTACCCTGACCTCGCTCTCAGTAGTGACGGCAATTTTGGAGCCCTGTGAACCAATTAACTAATTTGACACAAAACCCGACACCAGCTTGAAACATTTGACACAGTTTATAATGCTGGCATCTGCTGGATCGCTATCAGAACTACAATTGAGCGGGTGTCCTAATGTCCGCATTATTTCACGCCTGAACTTGTTTGTTCTGTAATAATAGTATTTTGCTTATGATTATATATATAAAAAATAAAAAAAAAACTAATGTCTGACCTGTCAAATTGTAATATGATTAACAGCACTTTTGATGTATAACAGCTATGTGCTGTTGTGGTCCTGCCACCATGGTTCCAAATTCAAATCCATCCTGGTTCCATGGTAAGTACACATTTTTGGCAGACGGGTTAACACACATGCCTCACAGCTATCAGATTTTGAGTTTTAATCCCGTTCCTGTATTGCATATCTTTATTTGATTTTTTTTGCTTACATGTTTGAGCTGTTTATGAGGCTAGAACAAGCTTTATTTTGCTAAGGGTTTAAAAACTTATATAGCATTAACTTTCATGAGTTTTCTCATATGCTCAATACTTTTTGATTACGAAATTGTGACCAAAAGTCATTTAAAGGGTCATTTGAACAAATCATTTAATCAATTTATTTACCTCTATTTACTGCTACATACTCCAATTTCCCTAAATTAGCCTAAAGCTAATTTGATAAACTCTCAAATATAAAATCCAAGCTAAACTGTGAAACTGCATAATTCATATGGTCCAGAGCAGTTTTAACTAATGTCAGGCAAAGCAGGATCTGCCAATAAGCCGTCTTCAAATAATGCTTGCTTTATTTACTAAGGGGTATTCAATCCATGGCCCAAGTTCTTCAATAAATTATGATATAGCACCTTTTTGTGGTGTGGTTTGGGGGTTAATCATCACCTGTATAATAACAAAAAAAAAAAACACTTAGAGCCTGAATGACAACATCATGTAAACTCAGAAGTGAAACAAACATTTTTTAGAAATGATAAAAAAAAGTGCAATCATTGACATATATTGGACTATAAAGTGTCATAAGGCTAATTCTAATATTGCCGACTCCAGTGAACAACTGAAACAGGAACGGAATAAAGAAACATAGAACAGGGCTTTACCAATTACGTGTTTATTTGTTGCTGTTTAAGATAAACCAACTAATGTCTGTGATTAAATGGGTAGTTCCAAAGGGTGAGCATTCAAGTTAAAGCAAATGACAGTGGAAAACAAGAATTAGACACATTAACACTACTGTATGTCAAAGTTATGAAAATGTTTAATGTGTGCACTGTGAACAAGTTATAGTTGTCGTGTTTTACTAAGTCGTAATTACAGACAAACATTGCAGAGAAGAGGTAAGTGCAATGTTTTTGTTCATCAGATTCCCTTCAGCATCTCAGCTCTTTGTTCTTGTTGGAACCACTTTTGAGGACAAGTAGCTTTAATGCTGGGTCTGTCCTTCAGAAGGTTGTAGTACTTGGCAATTTTGGGGTAACGTTCTGCAGACAGCCTGGAAAACAGAAAAATATACAAAGTTATAATGTTGAGAAGAAACATTCGTCCTCCAGTAAACACCAAGTTGCTAACATACCCATACTGGAAGGCATAAGCCAAGCTTGGATAGACAACCACATCAGCTAAGGAGAAGGCCCCTGCTAGGTAGGAACCTGCAGCCACCTTTATGCACAAAACAATAGAAAAAAAAACAGAGTCATCAGCGTAACAAGTAACCTTTTCAACATGTTAGTGTTTGTAGTGTTCCTAAACATACATTTTCCAGGTATTTCTCCCAGAGTTGAAGTTCAGCGGTCAGATTCTCCCTGTTTCTCTTCACAGCAGAGTCGTGGCGCTCTCCTTCCGGGACAAGCATGTGGTAATACAAAACCGTACCTGAAAAAAAAGTGTTGATATTAGTGTTTCTTGTATGGAGATGGATGTTCAACTGCATTAGTCAAATTTACCTATTTTCTCACTGAGAGTGTTACTCTCCATCATACGCTGGTACATCAGAGCTTGCTCTGCAGGACTGTCAGGAATCAGCTTGGTGCCCTGAGACTTGTACTGATTCTTTTAACGAAGGAGACAAAAACAATAAAATCATCACAATTTTTCTTTCATAGTCTTTATGTATTACAATCACAGTGCTCCATACTTTACCTCCAGGTATAAGCATGCTCCGATGGACTCATGGATTATGTTGTCTCCATCTTTAAAGGCAGGAAGCTGGCAGGAAAATGTCAATATAATGACTTCAGGTTTAACTATTCATTTGCTATTCCTACTTCAATTAATCATTTAGCATCAACAAACATGTAAGTATGAACTTTTCTCGTTTCTTATAATTGGTCCGAAAATCAGGCCAAACTACTGTGGTTCAGTTTATTATGAGTGTTTATTAGTGCTGAGAGCAGATTTTTAATCAACTTTTTATGCGGAAAATGGGGCGATTTAGAGGTAACTAAGAGGAAGTTAAGCTGTAATGCAGACCTAGTGAGCCCAAACAGCAAAAATAGCTGAATAAGGAACAAAATGTGGATTTTAGTTCCAGAAACCCAATTAAACCATGAACAGTTAGAGGTCAGAAAATGTATTGCATGCAGTATTTACTAAAACTAAGGTAATAGCAATGTATATTTTTTACATTACAAATATCACTAACACTAAAGCAAAATTAGTGTAAGCTAAATATATAGTGAAACAAAGTGCTAAAATGCTTTCTGATGTGGATCTAGCTGTGGATTAGATGGAGAAAATTAACAGAAACAAATGCCAGCGATATACATGTCAAACAATTGGAACTGAATTGAGGAAATGGTTGAATTTTTAATTACAAAAATCTCACCAAACTCACATTGAGTATAAAGTCAACACTTATGCGTATTATGCTTTGTCATTGTACCCACAACTATGCACTGGAGGAAAGGTTATGACTGCACTCCTCCCCCTACACACCCCTTTTAACCTGGAATGAACTTGTCTGTTAGAAGTGCACCATGCACAAATTGAACAACTGCAGAAATTTTCAGCAGCTTCGTCTTAAATTTTGAAATTAAATGTTTTTTTCTACCAATTGTTAGATGAAAACATACCTGCCCTCTGGGGTTTATATCCATAACCTCCTGGGACTTATGCTCCCCTTTCTCAAAAGAAAGCAGCTTGTGTTTGTAGCCCTGCAGTTTCTTCTCCTCCAGGGTGATCATAACGCGCCAGCAGGGAGGGGATCCGGACCCCCAAAGCAGATACATTGACTTAGCCATAGATAGACTCAGACCTCACTTCTTTGAATCTGAAATGTGGTCAGGTGAGCATCAGCAGCTGCCTTTTATTGAGAGGCTGGTGCTCAGAGCCACACCTCTTAGTTTATGTGCAACTCAGAAGTGAAAAAAGACAAGACAGTGAACATTCATTTCTTCATTTATTGCAGAATGTGTTTAACACAGCATTTCAAGTGAAAGCGTCTGCCGGCGCTCCTTTGTGTTCATTTCACAGAAAGGAGCGCACCCTTTGAACCGCTCCATGTCCTTTATTCAAGTTCAGACCAAGTAAAAATGTAACCACAACCTCAGAAACAACGATTTCTGGGATAGACGCGTTTTTTCATGGGTTTTCTTTACAATTCCAATCCACAGAAATGGTACCTTTCTCACAGACTATAATACAAGTTTCTACAACAAAATTACGCCACCTCACTAAACGTGCACACACTGTGGAACTACAGGATGTTCTACCTGATGAGGGCATTTACACATTTAATGCAGAGTAACAATGACACAGCATGTTATCGCTGCTTTGTTTTTACACTTTACAAAAAGGTTCCTCTGAGATTAAAAAACCCCTCCGTTTCAGTCACTCGTTTTCAGCATAAGAGACAATAAATGTCAGTTGAGGTGCAAGATGTCAGAGCTTTGCTAAATAAATACTGTAAATGTAACACCTTTGAGCCACCGAAGCTTGGACAGTGATCGTGAAGTTACGGCATTGTCCCTTTAAAAAAATACAATAAAAGGCACTCATCAGACTAAAAACCTTCCGTATTCCTATTTTATATGTACATTTTCTTCTTCGTTAAGGGAGATCATCTGGAATCTGGTTTAAAAACTAATTATAATGCCAACTTACCCTTTACAGCAAAATTCACAGCTTCAATGAATCAGAAATGATCCCTTTGGATTTCTTTAAAAGAACTTTGGATAAATCCAAGATGTTTAATTCATTATAGTACCTAGGACTCTGAGAGAGATTTTTAAACAAGTCTAAAGGAGAATGACATTTTTTAACCTTATGTTTCTGCTTCTATACTTAATACAAATAGAGAACAAACACACAATCAGGTTGGCAGCATCTTCACTCAAACACATTAGTAGCAGCTGGTGAAAACCCTGAAGAGGCTTGTGGCTGGAGGGCTAAAACTCTAAAGGCTGATCCAGACGCCTGACGCCAACATGGTCGCCGGGGCCGCCTTTCCACACCGGTAGGGACAGGTGAGGGGGTCAGGGTGTAGAGGGGTGACTATGTCTATGTGTCTGGAGAATCAGTCAATCCCAAAGCGAGAGCTTCTTCCGGTGTCAGGCCGTTTTTGAGAGTTCGCCTCACTGCACAAAAGACAACAGAGAAGGTGGAAGTTCATTTATCACAGGGCAAAACTTTAAAAATCCTCTCAGATGACATTATGTCGGGTTGCATTTATGAACCCTATAGGAATGGGAATCCAATGATTTTCATCTCGACAAATCCGATTAATTTAGGCTGATCAGAAACCCAAATAGGTTTTTTCTTATAGTCTATGTACACTTCATAGTGCTACCAGGCAATTTTTATGTCTAAGGAAAACATATTCCAGGAGATTGCAATTTTTTTCTATGCTTTTTTGTACTATATACACTCTTTTTATATTAACTGTGTTATTTTTATCTTTAATGGCATCTTGCTTTAACTCTTTGTACTCTATATAAACTACTGGAAACAGAATTTCCCTGAAGGAATAATCTCAATGGATACATAAAGTTAAGTCTAAGTCTAGCAGGAGAACACATTAGTAAGAATGTTTTTACTGAATGAATAGGAATCAAAGCACTATTTGAGCTTTAGAAAATTACCATTCTTGCCTTTGAGAAAGATGCCAATAACTGCTTGCTAAAAAACTCCAAAATACGTTGAGTTCCTCAATGAATTTGTAGACCATTGTTATTTTTCTGTCTTATTGATTTGTTTTAGAATTTAAAACTTCATTAGCAATCAGCCAAAATGATCAGAATAAAAAAAAATAACTCTTTCAATAAGTCACTAATTTTCAATATATAAATATATTTGTAAACACTTTTTTTAATTATGCAGAGGCATCTGAATACTGTATTTCCAGAAATGTCAAAAAAGTGAATAGAAAATTTAATGATTAATCTGAATAATAAATAATTTACTTTCAGTTGGACATGATTAGCTTGTAACATCTCTACTTTAAAACAGATAACAAAGAGTAATCAGCTCCTTTATTAGGGTGAGATTAGAGTTCAAAGTCAGCCCATATATTATGCTTTGTCATTGTACCTATGACTAGGTACTGGAGGAGAGGTTGTGATTTCAGCCGCGCCCCCTAAAAAGTAAATAATGTCTACTTTTAATGAACCAAAGGTGAAAGCCAAAGGTTCTTTTTGAAAAGTTTCTTTAAATTGTGAGGTTTAGCAAATAAAAAAAGCAACATTTTGTTTTTATCCTTACAAATCAGTGGTCTCATTCTCTTATTCTCAAAGGAATGAGTCCTGTAATATTTAGGTGTGTCCCTAGCTTTACAATGGCTGCAGTTCCTCACTAAAATGCTATGAAGCTATTGAAGCCTCTGCAACTGAACTAATATTTAACAAAGGTGTGTTAAGGCAGAGACGTGTCTGGCGGTTGCAGGGGATCAGCCCTCCAGGAATTTGACACGACAAGTGTAGCAATATGGCTTGCACTTGTTTCATGCAAATAATTTGCTTTATTATAATTATGCAGGGAGTTTTACAGTTTATATGGACACTGCAATGTAAATAGAACAGAAGAGGAAAAACAGAAGAAGAAAAAGAAAAAAAAAGGTGAAAAGATGAAAGAAAGAGGAGATAGAAACGAGACAATGACAAAACATTTGATATTGGGATGACCCAATAAGTGAGACCCAAAAACAACCCATCTCGTTGTTGCTTCGAGCCCGGCTTACTGCACTCCCAGGGAGCCAGCTCCCCCGCTGACTCCAATAGGCACCCCCATTCCACGAGAGCCCCCCCGACTTTCTAAAGTGTCCATTTCTGTTGATGTGCGGCATGCAGAATCTGAAACCAATTTTACTAAAAGCTAAATACTGTAAATTCTCTAATATTGGCCTGTATTCCATTAGCGGCCGGGACGCTTACAATGACCGCTGTCAGCGAAGGTAAATAATGGCCGGACTCGTATAGAGGCCGGGCTATAATTAGAACCATCGATGTTGGTTGTGGAGGAGGATTAAACAGAATTGGAGGATTTTGTTGTTGTTGTTTTACTTAAAACTAAACAAGACAATTTGAGTGAGCGGCAAGGTGTCTAAACCTGTAAGTTGCCTTTTGTTATGAATAATTATCACCATGCTTACAATGCACTACGTTTGCTTTGTGGTTAACAGCGTTAAAATGACGTAATTTCGTTGGCCTTCATTGTTCTGACTTTCCCTTGAGATATTGGTAGCCTACTTCGGTTTGGCCAAGATTCCATTCTGTTTAAGCTTTTTTTTCGTATAGCCGTGCAGAAAAATTGCAGCTGGTGGAAAATTTCTGAATTACCGGTATTTGTTGATAATTTTCTGGATAACGTTATAGTAACTGTACTTTTTCAATAAATGACCCTAGTATTTTATTGGTTCAAAGAGACACAAAATCTGCTGTAGTCTATTTTACTCAAATACAAATAGATAGATAATATATAATTCTAGCCTCCTTCCAATGATGGCCTGGACCAAGATGCACCCGAGTGAAATAAAGGCCCCGTCCTATATTAGAGGATTTACGGTATACTATATTTGCAAATTTCTACTTTCTTTATGATATAGGATTCTAAAGACAATTCTAGATTGGGAAATACAATAATATCTTTGATTATTTATCATCCATCCATCCATCCATCCATCCATCCATCCATCCATCCATCCATCCATCCATCCATCCATCCATCCATCCATCCATCCATCCATCCATCCATCCATCCATCCATCCATCCATCCATCCATCCATCCATCCATCTACACATATATAGATACACTATATTGCCAAAAGTATTTGCTCACCCATCCAAATTATTGGAATCAGGTGTTCCAATCACTTCCATGGCCACAGGTGTATAAATTCAAGCACCTAGGCATGCAGACTGTTTTTACAAACATTTGTGAAAGAATGGGTCGCTCTCAGGAGCTCAGTGAATTCCAGCGTGGAACTGTGATAGGATGCCACCTGTGCAACAAATCCAGTCGTGAAATTTCCTCGCTCCTAAATATTCCACAGTCAACTGTCAGCTGTATTATAAGAAAATGGAAGTGTTTGGGAACGACAGCAACTCAGCCACTAAGTGGTAGGCCACGTAAACTGACGGAGCGGGGTCAGCGGATGCTGACGCGCATAGTGCGAAGAGGTCGCCAACTTTCTGCAGAGTCAATCACTACAGACCTCCAAACTTCATGTGGCCTTCAGATTAGCTCAAGAACAGTGCGCAGAGAGCTTCATGGAATGGGTTTCCATGGTCGAGCAGCTGCATCCAAGCCATACATCACCAAGTGCAATGCAAAGCGTCGGATGCGGTGGTGTAAAGCACGCCGCCACTGGACTCTAGAGCAGTGGAGACGCGTTCTCTGGAGTGACGAATCGCGCTTCTCCATCTGGCAATCTGATGGACGGGTCTGGGTTTGGCGGTTGCCAGGAGAACGGTACTTGTCTGACTGCATTGTGCCAAGTGTAAAGTTTGGTGGAGGGGGGATTATGGTGTGGGGTTGTTTTTCAGGAGCTGGGCTTGGCCCCTTAGTTCCAGTGAAAGGAACTCTGAATGCTTCAGCATACCAAGACATTTTGGACAATTCCATGCTCCCAACTTTGTGGGAACAGTTTGGAGCTGGCCCCTTCCTCTTCCAACATGACTGTGCACCAGTGCACAAAGCAAGGTCCATAAAGACATGGATGACAGAGTCTGGTGTGGATGAACTTGACTGGCCTGCACAGAGTCCTGACCTCAACCCGATAGAACACCTTTGGGATGAATTAGAGCGGAGACTGAGAGCCAGGCCTTCTCGTCCAACATCAGTGTGCGACCTCACAAATGCGCTTCTGGAAGAATGGTCAAAAATTCCCATAAACACACTCCTAAACCTTGTGGACAGCCTTCCCAGAAGAGTTGAAGCTGTTCTAGCTGCAAAGGGTGGACCGACGTCATATTGAACCCTATGGATTAGGAACGGGATGTCACTTAAGCTCATATGTGAGTCAAGGCAGGTGAGCAAATACTTTTGGCAATATAGTGTATATTCAAGTTTAGTAAAACTCTGTTCAACAGAGACTCTCCTATGACACATGGTTCACCTTAAACCGTAATATAAATAATTGATGAATGCTCATTACAAGAAGACTCAAGTACAGTTACATTAATCCAAATAGTCAATTATATGGGATCTTTTATCCGTAACAGAATTAGGTTTGACGCAGCTGTTGTATGTTTAGAATAAATGCTGTAGTTGAAAAAGAATATTTCCTCAATGTGCTGTAATATTTAAGTACTATGGTAAAATATGCTGGGGGTGAAAAAGGGGCTACAAGCTGTTCTACACTAAAGACATGCTGGATTTTTTTACTTGGTTAATTGTTAAGATTAAATGTTTTCAACAAAAGTTTCACTAAAAGCAGAAAATACGTTTTCCTGTTATTTACAGATGGAGCCACTTAAAGCCATCCCAGTAATTCAAACGAATGCCAGTTTCCAGTCACTGTCCATTACTCGCCATTTCATATAGTAGTTATGCTGAATTATAAAGCATATTAAAATTGTGATTTGTTATTCTGTAAATGACTAAAAATAGAACCATTAGGCCACTGAATCTCATATTAGTGCTTTTAAACAATAACTTATGTTGAAAGCTTTGAGTCAGACTTGTGGACTTGTTCTTTAAGTCATACATGATTTTCTGTTGGCTCTGGATCTCCTCCTCTCTCTGGGTTGTGTTCTGGTTCCTGGACCTTGGGTGGCTGACCGCACAATACGCTCCATGATCTCATCTGCAGCATCGTCGCCACAAGCCTGCATATCCTCCACAGCGGACGTTCTTGTCGACATGGTTCGACCTGCATGAAGAGATAATAAGAGCTAAACCAGCCGTATAAATGGTGTTCGGTCTGATGAGGAATCTCCAGAATCCACTTACCTCCCCGTCCTGGGCGAGACCTGGTCCGCGTCGTGAGTCCCGGCACTACCACACCCTCTTTGTCGTTGCCCGTCAGGCTTGTTCTCAGCACAGCCTTCATCTGCTCATGCTCTGCAGCATCTTCACTGTGGCCCAGACCTTGGGGCTGATCACCGTCCTGACCAATAGGGGCGCTGTTGTTACTGCAGCTCGAACCATTGCGACCACCCTGCAGTGAGTAGGAGTTTCAAACAAGATCAGTGTTTTGCAACGTTAAAAAGAGAATTAAAACATTTTTTTGTGATGTTTGATTCACTCAGATGTTAGGGAAAGACTTTGAAAAGTGATCAAATCAATGTTAATGTATCAATGCACGCAAACATGCATACAGGCTTGCAAACATTGTAATACCTCTCGCTCTTCTTCATCATCAGACTACAGGAGGATTTAAGGTCAGAGAAAAGCAGGGGGAAATAAGAAAATCAGAGCTTGAAAGAACAAGAAAGGGAGCAAAGAGAGCTGAGATTCTTTGATGGGGGTTCATGTGTGTGCATGATGCTCACAGGTGCGTTCATGTCCATGATCATCTTGCCCCGGGTCTTGTTGCGCTCCCGGTGGTCAGCTCGTTTCTGTTTCTGCTGCAGCACGCGATCCCTGGTCGTTCTGTACTCCAGAGCGAACTCGCTGAGGATTTTGCTGAAGCGGTTGACGCTGATCTCCCTCACGCTGTAGGCTGGGTGACCCAGGTACAGCAGGAAGGAGTGGAACCTGATCAGAGGAAAGTAACACAACCAGCAATAATTTACAACAATGAATGTAGGAAAACACATCAGTCAGGTTACAAGTCCAAAACTACAATATATGTTATTGTGATTTTGGGTCATAGATCAACACAAAGTAATGAATCATTATGACGGGAGAGGAAAATGCAGAAAGGTTAATATATTTTTTTCCTTTTTTTTTTAGATGAAAATCTGGAAATTGTGGCTTGCATTTCTTTTTAGGCCATTGTGTTGATAGCCTTAAATAACACTTTGCCTTTCAAAGTTACTTAAGAACTAAGGGGATTTTTCAGCTTCTAAAGCCATAGAGGAAATACAGCAAACAGTGGAACATGTGACTGGATAAAATCAGAATGATCCCCACTATTATGCATCCAAAACTCAGCAGGAGACATGGTGGTGGTAGCATTATGGTGTGGGATCAGAGTGGATGGATGTTAATAAAGAGGAATCCTGGGAGTAAAACATAGCCATGATATGAAGGTTAACATTCTAACTGAAAAGTGATCATTCTAACTGATCAAAGCACCTTGCTGTGCTTCTATATGTTGGGATCTGGGGATGTACCACCTTCCTCCAGCAGAGTGCGCCGTGGGTCTCCTGGGCTGGAGCCCTCCAGCACACCTGAGACGCATCTACTCATCAGGAGACCTTCCCTTCATAAGCAGCTGCCAGACCTTCCTTCAACGCCGCAGTGCTGACCTTAGTTTGGTTAGCAACCTGAGCCTCTGATACCTGAAAGAATCTCAGTAGTCTCAAGTGAGAGAACTGATTCTAACCCTCCTCTGTTTTTGCTCATAGGAAACCTGTCTCAAGCCTGAAGCTCTGTGTGAGCTTAACCTGCCTTCCAGCCCTGGTGAGCCAAACCTGAAGATTCCTATTTGGATTCCCCCTGCTGCTCTCTGTGAAGAGCTGGAAACTCTAATCGAGGTCTGCCATTCAAAGTCAGAAGTTAGACGCTGCAGCTGCTTGTGCACTCTGCTGAACCAACAGTTTCTGGACCCAACGGTTCCCCCTCTCACAAGAGAAGCCTGGACCCCGTCAAGGTAGACTCTGAATAATCTTAAAGGACTCATTGATCATCTGTCTGCCCAGCTAATGAAACTATCCATCTCTACAGACTTCAGTGAACCCAACCCGGACCAGTTCCTGATCCTGTTCATGTTTTTGTGTCAACAACATAAATAAACTCTGTTAAACTTTTACCCAGCCTCCGTTGTGTTCTGCATGTGGGTTTGAATTAAAACCAATCATGACACTATAGGCAAATCAAAGCTCAGACCTACATCCCTAAATCTCTGACAAGACTTGAAATCTGATGTTCAAAAATGCTCTGAATCTGACCAATTCAAATATGTGAAACTAAGCAACAATAAACATTTTCAGTCTCTAGATGTGCAAATCCAGTTTAGGGTTTATAATTCATATATTAGTGATTGCAGAGACGAATGCATACATTTTGTTTTCAGAGATATTGAACATGCAGGGTTTAGTGGAACTTATTTGACATATTCTGACGTGAGAGGCTACCTGTTGATTAGCCTGCGGTGAACGATCTTGAGGATGATGATTCTCTCGGCACAATCTTTGAGGAAGTCGGACATCTTTTGCTTCAGCTGGGGCTTCATCTCATGCTTAGCGATCACCTTCAGGTGGTCCCATGAAGCTTTGCAGCGACGTTCCATCTGACACAGGTTCTCCTGCAGCTGATCAAAGTCCACCTTTTTTGACAGAAATGACCCGATTAGAAACAACTTATAAAAGTTTTGACTTTGATATATTAGAACAACAGTAATACACAATAAAATCTTAGACATTATAGACATTTCTCCTTGGCTCTACATTGGCCACACTGTGGTTCTACCTTTCTTATACCTCATCCTAAATACTTACGTTATCCTCAGCTATTTTCTCCATTTGTGCTGCTATAGACTTAGACTGCTGGAGACATAGGGACCTCCTATTCTGCAGTATTTTGTTAGTTTAAGCACTAATGTTATGCTCTCTCTGTCTTTTCTCATCATAGTATCTTTATACGGTGTGTTCATTTTTGGCTGTGACATGATCCTGGAGAGAGGTGTCAGCTGTGTTGCTTCCATCAACGCCTTTGTTTTTAGATGTTGGAGCTCAGCCTGTTTTTCAGTGTAGTCCTGTTTCGCTGACAGTCACTTACTGTATGCGCTCTCTTTCATCCTCTCACATTGGAGCTGGCTCGGAGCGTGTCTGCCTGGCTGTGTTTTTCCTGGACGGGGCCGCCTGGGGAGGTGGTTGACAGCTGCCTTTTGTATCTATGCTTCTTTTTCTTTGTCTGAATCTGTCTGGCCGCTCACACTGAGCCTGATTTTGCTGGAGGTTTCTTCCAGTTAAAAGGAAGTTTTTCCTTTCCACTGTCACTACAAGAACCCTTGTTGTGAGGGATTGCTTTTTAGTCAATGAGTCGATGCAATCAGCTGGTTTTCCTTATATAGAAAACTTTGAAGCAATCTGACTGTGTGATCTGGTTGAATTGTCTCTGTAAAGTGCCTTCAGATGACGTGTTTTGAGAATTGGCGCTATATAAATAAACTGAATTGATTTGAACTAAAACTCAGCTTGTTAGAATTTCTGATTCAAACTTTTTTGCCAAAACAATGATAAGTAACGCAGGAATATGGTACAAAACCAAAGTTAAAAGTTTGTTATTTTCAACATCCTCATATGACATTGTTTCACCTCAGGTTCATAACTTCATCTATATTCATCTTTCCACAGCCACTGGAAACATACATTTACTTCAAACCAACTGAGAATCAGGATTTTACTACTTTGCCCTGCTCCTCATAGGAAATGCCATCTTCCTTCAAGCAGAACATTACAGCATTTGTCCACTTGGGGGAACCAAACTCCACCAAACCTGAAAGTTCTTTAGAACTGCTTTAAATATGGATCTGTTCTTTTCTAAGACCTACAGGTGCACTGCAGGAGACTTTAGGACATGCCTGCTTTGTCGTTTGCATGAGCAAAAAGGTCATTCTCATGGACATCCAAGCATCATATATCTCCTTGTGTGATAAACCAGTAGAAGCAACAAACTTCATTCTTAACGGGTTATTTTCCTGCAGAGAAACTTGGAAACAGGTTCCAAAATGGGGACCCTTACAGGTAGATTTTGCTTGCTCAAACCTCCTTTAAAAACCAACAGGATTATATTTTATTTTATAAAATGAGGCAAGAATTAAAATAATTTTGCCTCGGCATTGCTAACATCTTAAAATGAACACGCCTGTTTTCAGTCTAGGGTTTTGTGTATATATATTTAAATTGATCTTATGCAGGGTAATGAGTACTTAAAACATTTGTGGAAACCTTTTTTATTCGAAAAAAAAAAAACAAACTATTGGAGCTTTTTAAATGTCTTTAAATGTTTAAAATATATTTCCTAGTTAGGCAAATTAATTTGACGGGTCCAAGCAAAATATTAAACTATAAAACTTTTTTTTTTAAAACCATCAAGGAAACTAAATAGGATTCAACTTGGTTGCAAATCTATTTATGACATTTCTGTGCTTAAATCCTAAAATTGCAGGCCAGTATCTAAAGAGCAGAAACTGAAGCATACTTTTGCAGAACGTGTGATGGCTCCAATCTCAGAGTAGAGGTCGGTGCTTTCTGGGAAGTTCTCCACCACCACGGAGCAGGCGTGATGGAGCAGAGACTGCTTATGCACCGTGTCCTTTACCTCTGGAACCTTCTCCAAGTATGTCAGCTCAAAGCCTTTGGCCTAAAAAGTTAATTGGAAAACACGTTATCAGTAAAAAAAACATAAAAAGCATGAAAGAATGTAACACAGATGGCTTTTTTTCTTCAAAATTGATCAGTAAAATTTAGGGATGCACGATATTGGGATTTTGGCCGATATCCGATATGCCGATAGTTTAAAACTCATGTAGCCGATAACCGATATCGATACTGGTGTTAAAGCTGGACAAAAATAATTAGTCATTGAAAATAGCAGTTTTGTTATCCATTTCTGACACTTTGAAAAATAATATACTCAAATATATTTTCATATGCTGATATCAAATTGATTTTTAAAACACGGTATCGATCTATTTTACTTTCAAAATCTTGTGAAATTTCATCGTTCTGTTACAAACTCTTGTGATAATTTGCAAATTCTTGTGAGATTTTGTTAGTAAAATAGATCGATACCGCGTCAATATATCAACATATAAAAATATGGCAAAATTTCGTGAATTTTCGGGGGATTTCGTAGCATAACGATGACATATAGCAATATTTCATTAGTAAAAGAGATTGATATGGTGTTTTTAAATGGCAATATATCAGCATATGAAGATATTGTGATATTTTAATGTATCAATATTTTTTCCCTCGTCTTTAGAAGTTTTTAAGTCTGTAAAAAAGACATTTTTGAGGAAGAAGAAGAAGTAATATTTTTTATTTTTTTTTTAGACTTTAGAAACTCAGAAGCTGATCAAATATCGGGTTAAATATCGGTGGGGTGGCCGATGTCCGATATTCAGTTTTAAGGCCGATACAGGCCGATACCGATAGGGGGCCGATTATATCATGCATCGCTAGTAAAATTTTAATCATACTTTACTTTGGGTGCTCTGTTTACAAGTACTATGTATAAATGATGTTGATATATCAGTTTAATGCAAATTGTAAATTAAAATTAGATAGTTGAGTACTTTTCTTGAAAAAAATAAGTAATATGAGAAATATATCTTATATTATAACTAAGTGGGTAAAACTCACTATGTCACTATGTAGGAAATATTTACATCTGGTACTATAAAATAACTGGTGCCTGCAGCACAGGTCAAGCCACATCCAGCAGTGAGTCAGCAGCCAGACCATGATGAAACACTATAAAGTTTTCAGGTAAAAAGTACCCTGTTATTTGTGTTTTTTAACTTATGTTTGTTAATAGTGTCTCTAGACATTTGTGGATATAAATACATGAATAACTTCTATGTTTAAATGTTCCCACTGCTAATTATCTGCTAATTACCTGCCTAAACAATTTTTTTTTTCTTTGTTTCTGTGCCAAATAAATTTAATATTTACGTTCCAACAAGAGCATGTCTAACATTAGCTTGAAGAACAATTTAAAGTGAAAAACATGTTGTAGGTCAGACAAATGGAGTTTGATTCATGTAAGTTTTTAGCAAATCACGGATTGTTTATGACAAAAAAAGTGAGAATTACACCTTCTTCCAATCATTGCTATTGTGTTTTATAGAAGCACTGCACAGTTTGGCTAATATGAAATATTCCGGTCATACAGTTACAGTATGTAGACATATGGAGGTGTAAATCAGTAGTGATAATGATGAAATGAAATAGTAACGTTAATACATTTTTGCCCTAGATAGCAGTCATGCACTGATTCATGAGTTCAGAGTTAAATAAGTCTTTCAAATGTTTCTTGATCTGAAATTAAAGTTGTTTAATCATGGTTAACTGAACATCAAAACACAAATCACACAGTGAAAAAAAAAAAAAAAAAAAAAAATGCATTTTGCCAGCAGATGACTCACATTGACGCCATTGAGGAAATTTCCAATAGAGAGCAGAGTAGAGAGGATGTATCTGAGAGTTTTATTCTTCACCAGCTGCTCCATTCCCTCCTTCAGATCCTGGAGTGGCTCTGCGACTTCCTGTCAGGAGTCCAATATATCAACAGTTGAGCTTAATGTGTTTTTATCAGTCCGCTGCAAACAGGTGCAACCTGCCACAAATCATCTGCCCTTCTTTAAGGTCATGAGAGGATGCTGAAAGGTTGTTCGTTCGCTGTAAAATCTGCTTCCTATTAGTTAAACCTGCTGTTGTTCTAAGCAGCAGCAGCAGCCTGTGAGCCTGTGTTTGTTTTCCCTGGACGGTACGCTGCTCTAAATAAAACCTTCCGGCAGCTAAACTGTTTCATACCGCAGGGTCAAGCAGGGAACGTCGCTCCAACAGATATGCTGTTACGTTTTGTACCTTTTAAGAAGAGATGAAAAAGGGCAAGCATCCCGCTGACAGCTGTTAAATTCACATGTGTCTCTTTCTCATGGATCTGGCTTTGAACTTTTCCTCCTGGATGCATTTTAGCCGGAATAATCGGCGTGCATGTAAAGATGAAGGCAGGGTGCTGCTAATAAACGGGCCTATTCTGTCATGATGTAACTATTCTGATGCTCTACGGATGTTTTTGCCTCTTCCATGCTGTGCACCTTCTCAAAAACGTTCACATCAGACTTCAGTTAGAGAAGCTTTATCATCTGATGGCAGTCTTTGAAATTTTTAATCAGTTTTTCCTCACATACGCTGCCTTGCTAAAGTATTCACACCCTTTTTGAGCACATTGGCACCGTTCTGTGAATTGTGGGCATGCTGTCCCAACTGCGAAACGTAGCATAGAGGAATATAGGTGGTGTTTTTTTTTTTTCTGTGGGATACTTTTAATCAGCTGATCACAGAAAAGCTGTTTATATTTGGTGAAAAAGATGGCACTAAATACCTGACAATACTGGAAGAAATCCTGATGCAATAGAATGGTTTGGAATATTGTATACTGATCTACAAAAACTGATCAGTCAATATCCAGATGTAAATAAAGTTGAGAATTCAAAGCAAGTCTTAAAGTTGCTGTTTGCATATAATCAATGTCTAATCTGACTGAGCTTAAAAACCTCAGTCCATGCAGACAGCGGTACAGATTAGGTCAAAATTATTATGGCATGATTTGTATAAAAGTTACATAGAACCATTTTTTCATTCAACATTTTTCATACAAAAATGTATGAAAATGGAAAAAAAATGATTTCCCTTTTTTTGTTTGTTTTAATATAGTGTGCACTGTGCAGGAGGTTAAACAAATATCATGTTTCCATTGCTGTAAAATTGTGCATAATAAAAAAAAATGTTAAAAATAAATTTTAAGATTTCTGTCAACGAAGATTTGCGTCATAGCATGCAACACGTTTCAGCACAACGCCATGTCAGGCAAAAATCTGATTACTTTATTGTATTTTCTATAATTTCATCAATGCAACAAAACCTAAACATTTAGAATTGTAATGGAATTTAAACTTAAAGCACCAAATATCGTACAGAAGACCAGTGGCATCATGTGACATTTGCTCCAGGATAAACATTTAATCATAAATTCTTATTATATATTTAAACGCACATAGTGCTTTTTTATAGTGGGCCAATATTTTTTGAGTCCGTGTTGCCATATAAGGCTTATATAAGACTTTTACATTTTTGCAGCTCAAGAAAGATTTGTTTTTGGGGCTTTTGGTCCAATATGGCTCTTTAAGCAGTTTGGGTTGTGACCCCTGTTCTAACGTATGTAACTGGGGTAAGAGGAAGAAACAACAATGAACATTTTACCTGCCTACTGTAATACTTTATTATCAGACTAACCTTCTCTGTTGCTTCATAGTCCATCTTGAAGGCCCAGAGCTGGAGCCGGGCAGAGAGCTCGCTGATGGAGGACAGAGTGAGGAGGAACTGCTCTGCAGAGCCTAGAGGGACATCTGGATTGGCCAGCTGGGCTTCCTGGATCTTCTGCTTCTCTTCCTCTGTGGGAATCATTGTCAGGAGTTTCTGTAGGAGAAGCGATACTTCGATTGGTCAGAGGGTGTTTTTTTTCCCCTTCTTTTTATGTAAGTTTAGCTTTTTTTTAAATCATCCTTAGTTCTCACCTCTATCCCCTCCTTATTGAGCGCATACTCATCGAAGTTCAGGATGGCTGTTTTGATGGTGCGGGGCGGAGGCAGGACGGTGAGGCCGATGTTGATGGCGTTGCTTCTCTTTGAATCCAGAACGATGATCTCCTGGCGTTTGCCATCTGCTGCCGTTTTCTTAAAGAAGGAAAGATTCACAAAGGGTCAGTTTCTGTCCTTCCCCCATCCGTTTCTGCTTCCTCTCTCACTGTGGTCCACTTAATAGGCCTGTAAGGATTCAACAAGTCTTTATTGCTGAGCAGCTGCAGAGGCTATATGGGTACTGGAAGCAGGAAATACCGTGCGAGACTAGGTTTATGTGAGCGTTTGCATCAATTTATAGGCATTTGCATGACCATGTATGACCTTTACCAGTGCTGGAGAAGCTTAAGCTGCATTGTAATTACATTGTAACTCTACATTACTGTGTGTTATGGGACGGTCAAAAGTATGCTGGTAATTAATAATATAATGAATCATAGGTTTAAATTCTTTTACTTATCATTTTATTGATTACTCAGGGTGATATGATAGAGCACATAACCAATTACAGACTTAGACAGATTTATTTTGTCATTTTGTATACAAGAGTGCATACAAAAATAAATTTAGTTTAAAACAGCTCTAGACAATTTCATTTTTTTGAAATGCAGCCTTGAAAACAGCAATAAATACAAAAAAGTTATATAAACATGACTGTATATTTACAGTTCTAACATTAGTTTTTTTTTTTTTTTACAAAATTACATGATGATAACTAGAATATTGAAAAAACGTTTGAATTGATGTAACATTTCTTTCTCATTAAATACAAACAAGCTCAGTCATTATCTAAGATTATCTTCTTCAACGCACTGTAGTAAGTTGCAGAGAAACTACATGATTATCTAGTATAATACTGGCTGCATATTTGGCCACTGTCTGTACAGCTCATTCATTTTTGTATAAGATTTTTTCATTGTATGTGTGCAGATAGTAGTTATGCTTTAAGTTGAACTTGAAGGTGTTTATTCTATAAAAGAATAGAATAGAATAGAAAAGAATAGAAAATCCATCTATTGTTTCACAATGGGGAAATTCTGGTGTCTACTGCAGAAAATTATACAAAAAAAGGGGGTCACACAAATGTGGACCTTAGCAAAGTGTATAAAAATAACACAGTAGTGAAGAGTTAAAAAACAGCAAAGGTGTCAAGTGACAAAGTACAAAAACTTCATTATTAAGAAGAATATTTGGCTACCCATACTTTATTAGAGTAGTTATTTTTTAAAAACATTTTACTTGTAATCCTTACTTTTTTTTTTGCACTTTTCTCTATTTTGTTTTCATTTAAGCTAATTTTCATTATGACTTGATGGTATAAAAAAAAAATAAAAACCATCAAAATAATTTGTTTCATCCATACAATAAATTTCTTTCCGTTAGACTTCTTGCATACCAAAATAAATCATTTTTCAAGATGATGCAAAGTTAAGTTTGACATTGTTCTCATTGGTTAAAACTAAGAAAATTAAGTATAGTGCAGTAAAGCGATGTCCTTAACATTTTTTCCTGCATTAGTGCATTTTCCTGCAAGTGTTTTTAAAAAGTAGGATTTTTACTTTTACTTGAGTAAAAAACATTGGTACTTTCGACACCTCTGTGTAAAATCCTTCTTGGTCATTAACATTTTAGCACAGATATTGGCATCCCAAGAGTTTCCAGTTCACTGCCTCTTTGCCCTCAGGGGTTCTTCAGATGCTCTTTAACATCCTCAGCAGCTGTATCCATTAAAGAAAGCAACCTTTGCCCCTTGGTTTTATGAGCACCGACTGCATAAAAGGCTCATGTTTTATAGTTAAATTAAATAACTAAATGTGTACCCAACTTTAGGATTTGGAACAAAGATAATTGCCAAACTTCTACAAGAAGATGATCAATCCACTTTTTTATGTTTTAAATGAATGGGAAAAAATAGAAGGAACAAAAGGACAACAACGATTGCTTGCATTCTTGCAATTCCTTGCATCATTCATGTCATTCTGCCTGGTGGATTCTATGGATATATAGCATGAGACAAAATAGATAAATAAAACAGGATTTTTTAAAGTTTATATTAAAACATAGTTTTCAGGAAAACTATGAAGCGCTATCGTAGAATGCTATACAGAGACTTAAGGCTCTAGAGCTGCAGGTTGCAGACTCCTGGGCCATGATTTACCCAGAATTATACCAAAGACTGTTACTGTAGTTATAAACATAATTTTTTCTTTATCCTTATTGAAAGACACTTGCCCACATTTGAGTAGGGGTGTGCTCAAAAAGTTAATCTTACAATTTCAACCTTATATGGATTAAAGAAAGTCCTGAATTTAATTAGTGGCTTTGCAGCTTTTTCTCCGCTGCCATTAGACGGTTGAATTGTTGAAAAAACTCAAAATCAGGTCACAAAACGAGACTTTGCATCAAACCAATAATGTAATACCTAATCGAACTCAACTCAAATGTTTTCTTTTGCATTTTTGCATTATATTGATGTATTTTTGCACTGCTCTGAACTTCCACATCAATGCCTTTTTTGCACCATGTCTCTCCTACACTGTTTACATTTGATCACTGCTGCACTTTATGAATGGAAATGTTCCTTTTCACTGCTAAGCTGCTGCTCATTCACTATCTGAAAGCTGTAAAAATGAAATCTTGTTTCGTATAAACTCTGTGTGTACAAACTGAAAATGAAGTTTGCTCTGCGTTCTTCGGTGGGGCAGTGGTTAGCACACACAACCCACGTATGGAGGCCTGTAGTCCTCGACGCGGCCGACCCGGGTTAGAATCCGGCCTGTGGTCCTTTGTCGCATCTCTACCCCTCTCTCATTTACCCTTTCCTGTCAGCCTACTGTCCAAAAAAAATAAGCCACTAGTGCCATAAACCCCCCCAAAAAGTTTGTGTAAGTCTGTTGGATCATTATAATATCTCCAAAGAAAGAAAAGTGTAACTGCATTGTTTGACGCCCCAGTAAATACTGGGCTTGTTCTGATCCGATCCACGTATCGGATCGGACGCCGATATTGGCAAAAGAATGCGTATCGGCAAAGAATGTAAAAATGCCGATCCAGACTGCCGATCCAGTTTTAAAAAAAACATCCGGTCCGTATTTTCCAGTTTCGCCGATTGAAACGATCCATTCCACTATTTTGCGCCAGTGTTCCCCGAATCCGGTCCGCATTTTCCAGAACACCTTCAACACACCCACAGGTCTTTTTGGGTCTGTCTCCCAGCCTAACCATTAAAATAGGTGAATTGGAAGATAGCGGGGAAAATGTCAGCCGTGTGGGATTATTTTATCCTGCACGATGTGTAGATGGAGACTAGGTGTGGAGGAGATTGGGGAGTATAAGGCATTTTTGTGTAATAGTTCACTGTTATTTGCACTGATTTTTTTTTAAGCAGTGTCTTTTTTCAAGAGTAGAGTCGTGATTCTAAGTTAATAGAATATTTTCCACTCTTGTCTGTTTTGCATTTTTATTAAAACTTACAGTAATACTTGCACCTTTAACTGTTTACGCTTTTACTGCTCACTGTGCAATTTCAGATTGTTATTCATAATTTTGTCCAGTTTGTGTTTATCTCTTAATAACCAGGTAAGTTTGTTGTTACCAATCATTGTGTTTTATTCAATCTCACCTAATTCTGCTGGCTAGATGTTATCAAGAGTACTAAAACCCTTTTCAACATGAGTCTTACAACTAAGGCTAAATACTTTAACTTAAATTTAAATACATGCTTGAATAGGCTGGTATCGGCCAGTATTGGTATCGGATCGGAAGTCCAAAAACAATATCGGATCGGATCGGAAGTGCAAAAACCTGGATCGGGACATCTCTAGTAAATACCATAATGGTTAGAGTATTTAACATGATTTTAAATATTTATCTGTTATTTTTATATAATCTGTTGCACATTTCATATAGGATTAAAAGTTAAATAAAGTGCAAAAAGAATAGTAGTCAACTAAACTCTCTTGGTGCTTGAGAGGCAAAAAAAAATGTTTTTTTGTGCTCCAGTAGTCCAATAAAGTGGTTTCTGTGTATTTCTTTTAACCAGTTCAGCACACTAGCTATAAACCCCCATCATACTTATCACATTATAGAGCAGAGCCCTGAGCCGATCGGGCTTAAACCTAAATTGCAGGTTCTGAAGCGAAGGCTCAGAAGTTCAGAGGGTGAGAGTCCTGGCTTTTGCTCTACATCTTTGAACCCCAGACGTTCCTTATTTAACGACTTTGTGAGAATTACAAAGGGATCAAAACCTTCTCTGTGTGATCAGGATCAAACACTTCAAACCTCATTTAACCTCAGAAGATGAAACATAGAAGAAATGAATGTAGAAAGTGTCTCCTGTGTGTTATTTCTGTTTTAAAACAGTTGAACCACCTCATAAAAACTATATGTAGAGTCCTCATGTTTAATCCGCCATATTTACTAACAATAGTGTAGGTCTCATTTTTCAGTCAATGTCAGGGCACCCAGTCGTACAAAACCGGACATTTACGGGGATTTTTAAAGTATTTTATGGGTTGGAAGGTTAAAAAAAAAGTTTTATTTTAAAAACCAAAGTCTTTGATTCTTCTCAATTTGACCGACCGAATGATGAGAACGTAACACTTTAAGCAGACTTATCTTAATTAAGCAGGAAGATGCCAAAATGTAAAACAAACTGGACACAAAAGCTGACTCATAAGGTCAATATTCTGTGTTTTTTTTTTTACCTTTGTTACTGATATTTCCTTTGATTTGGATTCAAACAGGTGTTCCAGTTTGGCTGTATCCAACTTTACTGGTTCCACTTTGGACCAGAAGGAGTCTCCGCTCCATTTTTGGTCCCGGTATTGAGAGTCTATTGGACGCACCTGAGGACAAACAATGAACATGAATCGGACTAAAGAATAAAAAAAAGCAGAGCAGAATGTGGGAAAAGCTATAAAGAAGAAAACAGGATTTATTTCATGTAAGCAGGTCTGCTGGTCGATTTTTCTGCTGGTTAAATTCAGGGATATGCCGTTTCTTAGGCTAATAACGGTAATTCTTACAATCGGATTTTTAAAAATATATTATTTTATGAAAAATTTTCTCTTGCAGTCACAGTTTCATGATGCCTAAGTTTTTTGTTCACATCAGAAAGGCCAAAATAAGAAAAAAATCAGCATGTTAGAACTTCTTCTGTCTCACCTCGCTCCAGAAGAGCCTGATTGTCTTCTTCTTTTTGTTAAAGAGGGGGGGTTCTGAAGGAGGGGGCGCTGTTGGCGGAGTGGGAAAGGAAGGAGGAGGAGGGGGCCTGAAAATACCAATTAAAGGAGGAGGTGGAGGGCAGCAACCCAGAATGGGTGGCGGTGGAGGGAAGCGTGGGATGAAGGGTGGAGGAGGAGGTGGAGGAGGGAGGTCGCCGCACCCCCCCATCAGAACGGCGTCCAAAATGTCCTTGTCGTCGTCTTCCGTCAGGTCGGTGAAGTTGATGTCCCTGATGCGTAGCTCCCGGGGACAGGACAGGAGCTGGTCCCAGATGGAGTCCGATTCCTTTTTGGGAGGGGGAGGAGGGGGCTCGTTGGCCGGGTCGTCCAGAGGAGCCTGGGACGAGCCGAGGTCTTTGACCAGATCTCCAAACCGCTCGGCCAGAGGACGGATACTCCTCCGATGCTCGGATTTGTCCTCCTTATTGTTCTCCTCCGGGTGGTCCTCCTGATTGGTCTCCCTGTCCTCCTCCTCTCCCTCTCCCTTCTCCTTTGCCCTCTCCACATCCTCCTCTTCCTCCTCCTCAGCGCTGGGCTTTGTGCTCTGAGAGTACAGCATGTCCAGCATGAAGAGTTTACTATCGAGGAGTTTATTGCAATTTTCATTCACTTCTCCCTCCTTAAAGCCTGAAAAAGAAAGTAACAGTTTTAAAAGTTTGAACTTTTTATTATTTCTTATTATTTTAAGGATATTTTTACAGGCTACCTTATACCTACCATTCTCGGTGCTCCCTCTCTCCTCTCTCTCCAAGGTGCTGCTGGCAGAGGAGATGCTGGAGGCCGAGCAGTTGTCCTTCTCGTTTACCTCCTCATTTTGTCGCTCCTTGTCACTAAGGATGCCAGTATCCTCCTCCTCTCTCTGTTGCTCCGCTTCGTGCTCAGGCTCCTTCACAGCTTCCTCCTTGTCCTCTGCTACTTCCTCCTGCTCGTCTTTGTTCTCCTCTTCTTTCTGCTCTTCCACTTCCTCTGCTGCAGCTTTTGCCTGTTTCTCTTCTGTTTCTACACTTGCACTGGAGATGTCAGCTACTCCTGCATTAAGGAAATAGAACTTTTAATGAGTACAGTTTCTCATATAGCTTTCAATAGCGTTTTAAAGATTAGAAATATTTGAGGTGCGTCTCAAAAAACCACGGCCTGCTATTTAAAGCCAGTTCTGAATGGTCGCCTCATTTATCCGTTCAGAAAAACAAAAATACGCCGCCATGGCGTAATGTAAACAATACTGCCAGGGCACAAAGCAGGGTTGTTGCGGGAGCACGATATGAGCAGGAAATAAGGAGCTGGGTTCCTGTTTACATCGCGTCCCGCCCGTGTACACAGTACACAGGAGTAAATCAGCTGCACAGTCGGCGCAGTGATGCAGGCAGGTTTTAGAAAAACACGGCAGCGAGAGGCCTCAGACTCTCGCCTCTGTGACCTACAGTTCCTCGGCTCGTTGCTTCGCTTGTGCTCCCAAAACAAGGCAGTTTTTTTCTTGCATGAGATGTTGGGGCATCAGTCTTTCAAAAGGTTCTTTCAAAAAGGAAAGTGACCCTTGCACACAGATCCTACCTGTCATTCAAAACCCCTTCCAACCCCCCATTTCCTCTCCCTTCCTTTACTGCATTCACAATCTCTCTTCTTTTCTCCTCCACGGCACACAGCAGCATGATAGGAGAGTTTTTTGGTTAGGACCGACTGCTCAGGGCCAAACAGATGTTTGGGGATTGAACAGATGATCCTCTGGTTTTCATTATAGCTTTGAAACCTATTAAGACACAAAGATACTGTAAAACAAGCTAAAGCTATGATAACCAACCAACACTGACATATGGAGCCAATGGGCAATGAAGGTAACATGTTACAGTGATTTCTTGAAGGGGCAACAGATGGCTTCTGGTTGACATTATGACTCAATTTATCAACATTTGAACAATGGCTGCAACTACTTCAGTTTTCTTTCTTTTGTTTTTGCTGCATTTTGCACCATATTTATTTAGCATTGCACGGAACTTTTTCATATTAATGCACTTTTGCAAACTGGTTTTCTTGTACATTGTTACATTTAGATCACTGCTCCAAGGTTTATCTTACTCCAACTGCGATATCATTACACTGCTCTAAGCTTTATGCAATGAAATTTAGTTTCTTTATACACTCTGTGCATTCAAATTGTCAATAAAGTTTGTCTAAGTCTTACTAACGATTATTTTGCTAATCGATTAATCTGTTGATTATTTTTTCGATTAATCGCTAAATAATCGGAAAGCAAAAAGTTCCTTAGAGAAGATTGCAGAAGAAAAAATGCAAAATACTGTTGTTGTTTTTTTTTTTTTATATAATTACTGATCTAAGTGGGTCGCTCTATCATCTAGTTTCATGTTTTGCAGTCCTTATTCCCCAGTTAACGATTAATCGATTACTGAATTAGTTGACGATTATTTAGATAATTGATTAATCACAAATAGCCTTATTAATTGTTTCAGCCGTACTGTGAACATAAACATGTATAAGGTTTCCTCCTGTCTGTAACATAATAACATTAGCTTATCGTCTTAGCTAAGTAGCAAACTTGTTAGTTTTAAAAATAGTTTTCAACTAGCTAAATGATGATAGCTAGTTTTTTCCTCATCTCACATTAAATGCTAATTATATACAGAAAAGCTATATATGTATATATTTTTTTCTTTTTTCTTTTTATCTTTCCCTCGTGGATTATTAAAGTATTTCTGATTCTGATATGTAAAGATAAAATGATGAGTAAGGAGTGGAAACCACATGGATTCTTAAATGTTTGGTTATTTTTAACTGGTTTACTTTTCACCATTTGAGAGCCAGATGCCACCTGGAGAAGACAATTTCTTAACCCATATTAGAAGTATTTTAATCAACCCAAACTGGCTCAATAAGAAAAATGAACTTGAGACCTGCATAAACTAAATAAACAGCTGATTAATGAGCAACATCCACATGAAATCAGGTGTATTTCACCGCATATTTAATGCAGTTTAATGACTAGATTTATGAAGTATGACAATGCATATTTAACCATTAATTTTACAAAATTTAAAGGGGAGATTTAGGCTCTCTATTATTCAACGAGAAATCGTCTCACTAATTTCTATTACTGTAAAAATTATAAACAAATGCTGCTCATAACATTAACTAAATGTACAATAGAGATTTATGGATGAAATGTGAAACCTTTACTCAGCTGACGTAACTTGGTTTATTGGTGAGGCAGACAGCTTTATAAGACCTGACAACTTTCAAGTTTGCCCACATTATTTTTAGTTTAACCCAATAAAGTAAATGTGATGAATGGAAGGTGACCATTTTGTTTCAGAACCATGACTCTCCATGTTATTCTTGACTGAAAATTCTCTCTTTCATCAGCTCAGATAAGTTTCCCTTTAGACAGCTGACTTCAGAAATAAATCGGCCAGGGTTTCCTGGCATTTAACTCAAATAGTTTTGAACTGCAAGAAGAATCTGATGGTTCACAAGCACTGGTCAACCAGGACATACCATCAATATCAAAAATACGACCAGTTGACTCTGTTAAAATGCAAATCTTCCTACCAGCATCAATGGGGGTGCCGGCAGTGGATGATGTCTCATGTTCCAGATCAGCCTCTGCTTCCTCCTGGGAAGCGAAAGATGATGGCGTGCTGCTACGTGATGATGATGGCCAAGCTTCTGAGGGTTCAAAGGGCAGGCTGAGGTCAGGGCGAGTCCTCGAAACCCGAACGCGGTCTCTGTCGTACTCCTCCGCTGCCAGACGCTCTACGTTCTTATACCTGAGGCCGAGCAAGAGATGCATTGTCAATATTGGTCACTGCAAAGCTGGTGAAAGCAAAACCACTTGTTTCCAATTTCTCTCAGGGAAGTTAAATTGATTATCAAACAATACGATGAATATACAATGTTTAAATTCTGAAAAGGACAAAAGTCTCGCCACAGCTCCAATTCCTCTGCAACACACGAGTAAACCTCCTCTGCCATCCCGATTTAAGCAACTTATCTTTCAGCATCCATCCTGTTAGCCTTAAAGCTTTGAAACAAGTTAATTGGAAATAAAGGAACAACTAAAGAGAAAATTGAGAGTTAAAGACCTGTTTAAAATCAGCTACCTTCCCTCCTTTTCCCATTTTTCCTTCTTTCCTTCCACTCCTGCCCGGACCACAGAGCTTCCCAATTCAACCTGCCGGCCAGCGAGGAAATTTAGGGCACCGAGTCAAACCTCTCTCTCTCTTTGAGCCTTTCTTCTTTCTCTAACCCCTCCTCTTTCCCACCACACTGTGAATGTGTGCAGCTTCTGTTGAGGCTTCATTAGCATCAGGACACTCTAGATGTCTGAAGAAACCAGACACGAATGCTCTTCTGTGTATCGGGTTGCCTATATGCATAGGATTAAGCATCAACTGCAGCTAGAGGCAGCCAAGTGTGTATTGTCGGCTTCATCGCACTGTATGGACACACAGGCAGACTCACACATGAGCAGAATGGATGTTTGTGAAAACACACCGCTCCTGCTGTGAGAGCTGATTGGGAGCTAATCCCTCCTTCAAAACCGAGCATTGTTTGTCTGCAGGATTTTTCTAGACCAATTAAAGCATATACTGTTGTTACAATTTGCTCATGTTTATCAAAGCTTAAAAACTGAAGTGGTGCATCAAACAAAAAACAAATAAATGAATGAAAATTGCAACATTATAGACATTCTGCACAGAAAACTAGGCCTTCTACATCTTTATCAAAGCCTCTTCATGCCTTTCGAGAGCCACATTTCTTTCATGGTGTTTTTTCCAGAATCTGTTGATGTATTGATACTTATTTAAAGGCTATATCACAGGATTTCTCTAAATGTTTTGCAAACCCTCAGCAGCAGGAGCTGTTGCTCCCTCACCATATTTTCTACAATGATCGTAAGCTTTGTTTATGCTTGATACGTCCACAAAGGGACATTTTTAACTAGGCAGACAGATAAGCATGGAAATCATGGCGAGCAAGCACCAGCTCAAAACGATGTCATTTTGCTGTGCGGACGCTTGAAGCATAAACCAAGCTTAGGGTCTGGTATTTGTTTAAAAAGTAATAAATGACGAGGGAACATACAGAGGAAACTCAAAACAACTGGCAACATGCACATATCTGGCAACCCATTTAGTGTCTAAAAAATATCATGGTAGCTAGATTACCTTCTGGTGTAGAAAAATTACAATCAGACTGCACATGTTTATCTTCAATGGAAAGATAAACTAAAGAATATGAGGGTCAGGCTGAACTTTGCCATGGAAATTGTATTGAAAGATTAGTATAAAAGTTTATTTCTATAAAATCAGAAAAGAATAAAATATATAAATCAAATACAGCATTCAGAAGAGGCATAGAAGAGGAAGTAACATGGTTGGGGATGCTTTGTTGCAGAAGGACCTGACCAGCTTACTATAATAGACTTCAACCTCAAAAGGTATTTAAAGCTACAGTGTGTAATTTTCAGCGACATCTAACGTCCAGACTGCAGACCGCAGCAACATGAACATCTCCCCCCCACCGCTTCTCCCCCCCAACAGTACGGCGAGCGTTACGGGACAAAATGTCTTCCACGACGTCCGAATCAGTTCATCTCTCTCAACTTGCCGTAGTTACTTTCGAGCGTAATGGGCGATCTCGCAATCGCTAGTTTGTTGGCTCTGCGCTGCTGTAGCGCAAAGATGTCTGCCTCCATGGCTGCGAGACCCGCTCCTATGTAATTATAAATGACGAATTCTAAGGCAACACAAATATTAAGGTTCAGAGGCTGAGCTCGTAGATGATGATAAATAACATAGTTATGTATAATATATTACATTTCTGACTGTATATCCCTGTAATTATTACACACTGTAGCTTTAAGGAAAATATGAGAGAATTTGTTTAAAAAAGAAGCAGGATTAGCTTAAATCTTGAGAAATTGAGATAATGTGGGTTGACTTGAAATAAGCTCTGCTTGGAAGAAAACGTCTCTCTCATAACTCAGATAACATTAAGAACTTTTTTTAGCCAATGCCAAATATTAGTAGGAAGAGTTTTACTTAAGAAATGAAAAAAAGCTAGTTAATGACATGTAAACCTTTCTTTAAAAATAACTTGAGTGTTGTTTAATAAAAAGATTTTATGTAAAATAGTTTAACTATTTTGTAGTGTGTCGTTCAACTAACATAAAGGCATGCCCTGAGAGATTGTCAGGCTCGGCATATGGTAGAAAACATGTTAATAAATTTATGAGGTGAGGGGAAAAACCAAGGTTGTATGTCAAGTTCCCACTCTCCCCCTTTAAAATGATTTTAACCATAAGGTAGAGTCGTCCTCTGGGCAAAGTACGCCTGGTTTAGCCTTTAAACCTTCCAATGCTCTGAGGAATGTTTCATGTTTTTTCTGTCAACTACATGTAAATAATCTAGTAATGATTATACGTTTCTTGAAGTCGCACCAAAAAGTGGAAACTACCCTTTAGTTTATACCTACAAATAAAAAAAAGACCATGAAGGAGAGAAGCAGTCTGCAGTAAAACAAAGCACAAAAAGAATAAGATTGTTAGTTGCGTGGCTAATTTAGTTAAACATAAATGAAATGTTGATTTTATAAAATTGATTCAATACTGATCTTTAGAGGCTTTCTGATTAGTTTGTTTCCTTTTTAACTTGTCACTGCGTTTTACATTAACTGCTCATTTATTAGTGGTGATCACAGCTCACTGTGTCTTTGCTCAGCCCAGAAGACATGTGTCAGCCTTTTTTGAAAAGAAGCTGTGTGTGAGTTGGAGAAAACCAAACACAAACCAACCCCCAAGTGCTGGAGCCACTGACGAGTTGACAAGTCATCACTCTAGTTTGAATAAAAACTTCCCAACAAGTGACCCCAAGCCTGGGGGGTAACCTCCCAGCACAGGGCCTTCTGTGTTCTGGGGGGGTTCTGGGAATTTGCGACAAGCCACAGAGGGGAGAGATGAGGAGCATTTGCATATTCAATGATCCCACAAATCTAAAGAGACAATCGTTTGGCATCTAACTGATGGCAGAACGTTTTTCCTCTGTTTCCTCATGCCTTTGCTTCGTCCTTTCCTTTTATTACAAATAACTGCCTTATAAACATTCCCTCTTTAAATTACTCCTTCCCTTTTGCCATTTTCTCCTTCATTAATCTTTTAGATTTTCCCTTAATTTATTGTTCATATCCTTATTTCCTTCCCTACCCGTAACCTTTCCCACTTCCCTTAACTTATTTTTTTTTGTTTACTTTTCTATCTTCTGCATTTGGTTTCCTTTTATCGACCTCTTCCCTACCATTCCTCCTTGTCTCCTCCATGTGGTTTTGTCTTTTAATTTGACTCCAGCAATGAGTGCAGTTTGAATATGTAAAACATGTACAAACCTTTTTTGAAATAAAATCCAATATGAGCAAAATATACACGACAGGGATATTAGGAAAGACAAAAAAGTGCACTTTAATAATAAAAATTGCACCTAATTTCATCATAAGAGTAATATTCTGTGTACTTAAAATTAAAAGAAATATTAATGTGATGAACTGCTGAAAATGGGGTTAAACAATTAGATGTAGCTTTTAAACAGTTAACTTTCTAATAAAGTCCCCAAAAAATGGGACTGACCTTTTTTACCCCTTTTTTCTGAATCATTTGCTTCCTGATTCCCGTCTGCACACAGATTTATAAGCCTCATGAAAATTCTTTCCGTGTGTAAAGAGAGGAGTGGTGCATGACATGTGCATTTGGGATGAAGAGCTCAACAAATCTATGGATCGAATTTTCTCAAGGTAGCCAAAACAATCAGTCCATTAAAAGGGAGGAGAATCAAGAAAAGAGGCAAACTCAGATCTCACTAACCCTTCCATAAGGCAATGACAGCTAATTTAACCTGAAAACAATTATACCATTACTATGTTTTCCAAAGAACTTCCCAGTGGGTTCAGATGTTTTGATTTAGTGTTTAGGCACTTACCGCTCCTCCCTCGCAAGCCTGGCCTCCTCCATTTTATCCACATAGTCACGGCTGGGGGAGACAAACAAACAGAAAGTTTCAAAAGATAACGACCATGTTCAGTTCCACCACTTAGATGATCAAAATACATGCAGTAAAGAAATTTCAACCCATGTCTTCTGACATAAACCAGTTATCTATTTTTTAACTCATATAGGGATTGTATTTTATGAGGTCCCAGAAGAAATAGGACATAAATGACCCCTGAAGGAAGTCAGAGGTTGCAGAGCAGTCCTAAGTTTACAACCCAATATGGCTGCTATAGAACATATGGAAGACGTGAAAAGTGCAGGTATAAACTTTTTATTTTCACTTCTGAACTTTTCTTTTCCTTCTTAGATTATTTTCTAGTGGCCTTTATTTTTCTATTTTTCGAAAGTAGGCAAACAAAAACCAGAGGTGTCAAGTAACAAAGTACAAATACTTTGTTACTGTACTTAAGTACACTTTTTAGGTATCTGTACTTTACTCCATTCCTTTTTTTCCTTCCTACTCATTACATTTTCACACAATTATCTGTACTTTCTATTCCTTACATTTTCAAAACAAACGTTACTCGTTACTCTTGGCTTCGGTTTAATGCAGAGGTCACGGATTAGCGGACTGCTGAAATGTTATGCTGAAAAGTGCATCCCTGCAGAGATATGCATCCGCAGTTGCAGAATCGCACCTCGCTCTGTACAACTGCGACCATCGGTGAGGAAAACGGATTAAAATATGACCAATGGAGCTACTTGTTGTTATGTTAATGATATAAAAACTTTTAAATGTGATGCATTCATGGGCGTCACATAGCTATGGTGCATTCAGGAGCATAGGACATTTCATATATACAAGGAAAGAGGCATAAACGGAACAGAACTTAACTCATATAATAATGTATTTATTCAGAAACAGTGTGGGCTTTCTCACAATACCGAATGCTCTATAATTGTATTTCTGTTGTTTTTTGATTATGCACATCTTCTAGCTTTTTATTTTCTAAAAAATCTATCATTTACAGCAGCAAATTATCAAAGTTTTTCAAAAGCCTGTTTAAAAGCTCCAAATGAGGCTTCAGATCAGACAGCGATAATTACGCAGTTTTACAGGCAGAATTAGCATTTGCTGACCCTTGTCCTTTAACTACTGATGGATACAGGAATACAAGTGTCAACTCCTCTGAGATAGCACTGGATGCAATTTTCGGCAATTTCTATTTTTTATTTATTTTTTTATTCAATGTAAAGCATGATTGTATAAATACCTAATTTTATTTCAGTGTTAAATTCTGTTTAAAGTAACGGATTATAATAAAAAATGTCTCAGGACCTTTACTGGTTGATGATTTTCTTTATTCGGACCCCAATGATTTTTAATTGGTTACCCCTGGTTTAATGTTACTAAATATTTATTTCTCGTCATGTGCGCCATCCAATGCAGATCATGGCGCCATCCACATCTAGTGAAAACTAGTGTAATTGGATGAGTCATATAACGCAAACACTCATTGGTCAGCTAAAGGAAATAATCAGAAGCAAGCAGGTGTTCTTCAAACCTCAAACGTGAATTGTCTATGCCATGCTACAATGTCGGATTCAGAAAAAGATGTTGAAATCTCAAAGAATTTTTCTGAAATAGTCGAAAAATTGAGCTTTCAATTCATTTAGCGGCATCTGGCTGTTTTCTTTAAAGGTTACTTTATACTTTATACAGATGATAACTTAAAGAAGTGTTTAAAAAATTTGTAAAAAAAAAACATTTTAATTATAAAAAATGTAACTGTAATTAGTTTAAAATGGATTCAGGAATGATTTTTTTTGTCCTTTTTGGGCCGATTGTTCAATTGTGCAAGAATTTTTCGATCAGGCTGACTTTGAGCCTGATCGTGCATCGTGAGTGTACAGGAGGTAACAAGCGGCAATCAGCCTCTCACGACCACATCCCGATCAGGAATCGTAAGGTTGGAAAAAAATCAAACATTTTTGAAAATCAGTCGACCGTCGTGGAAAAAATCGCTCAGTGGGAATGTTTAAACAAGAAAGCTTCTTCTTCTTCCTCCTCTCAGTTGTAAACACAGAAGCATGGCGGGGGTGCGAGTGAAATGTCATTCTGTCTGTAAAATTGTCAGACCATAGTAGCCACGTTTGCTCAGCCATGTCTTTGTCCAAATACGTCATCGCCTTTTCTTTTTAGGGCTTTCAGCACAAAAATGCACTAATTGCAAAAGCAGCGCTTTTCACTCTAGTGAGCTTCATATCCATCTTCTAGTCATTTAGCTTCCAGATAGACAAGTCCTAGCCCTGAGTCAGACGTGGTTTTTAGACATACAGTGTGAGCAGATAGATCACATCAGAGCGTCGGGCAGCACAAAAATCGTAAGCTGTGAACTCACACTGTACGACGAAACCCTGCGGATTGAAAAAAATCGTACATTATATGCCTGACCTAAGTAGAAATGGTTTTGTAGACCAACACAAGATGTGTGTCAAGCAACGCCTCTCTAGCTCCTTCCTCCACTCCAGCTATGACCCCTCCCTGCCTCCCTCCTTATATGCAGAAATTTGCAATGGAAAAATGCCTCAACTTTCAGAGGAGCATGTCAAAGGAAGAAGAAACTGTCTCTCCCTAACCTAATAAGACTGTTTAAATCCACAAGATGTGCTTTCCACCATTTTGCTCCTACACGACTACACTGCTTTCTCTGGGCAGGGAATTCATACATGCAAGTGCAAATGACCCGACTTGCAAACAGCAGACTAGAGAGCAACACTAAGAGGTGATGGATGATGTCACACTATATATTAATTTTAAAAAGATTCCTCTACTTCATCACTTCCATATTTTCTTTCTTTCCATCTAAAATAATAAATTATCACTTATTGCTCTATTAAAAGTTCCAGAGTGAACAAAGTTTTCTCCAGCTGTTTATACCATAAGATAATACTGCCTGTAGCTGCCGACTATCAGTGTGCTGGATCACAGGAGTGATAAGAACCAAACAGAGTAACAAGAAGGAATATTTCGCACAATGCTTACCAGAAAACCCTGGCTACATTTCAAAGTCTGAATTACAATAACTCCATGCCATGTGTAACACAAATGTAGGGTTTTATTACATGCCTCAAATTTCCATTTATAATTTAAAAACAAGCAAACGTATAATATAACAAATGCACTTGCTTTATGTAATAACTGTTAAGCTATTGCATTATTTCTCAAAGTTATTATGCCATGATAAATTGTTACCAGCCCATGCCTGTCAACCTTTAGATAAACTAGACTGAGCTCAATGGAAAATACATAAAAATCTCTAAACCTGCATGTGATGCTTAATGTTTTATATGATTTTTTTCTGATTAAAGCTGATTAACATCCTGTTTAATGTCCTCATACCTAAAGAAAAGAATCCTAACAATTTCCAGTGCAAAAGTGGCAACATTGCCTGACCTGTGCTTGTTCCTCTCCTCCCGCTCTATCCTCTGCAGCCTCTCTTCTCTCTCCAGACGGCGGCGCTCTCGCTCTGCAGCCAGAGACTCCTGGTGCTGTCGGTAGGAGGATGAAAGGAGTCCACTTAATGCTACCCTAAAAGCAGAAAGCAAATGCTTGTATTGGGAGAACTGCAGCCGCTATCCCACATTTATATGTTCATGTATTTTAAAAGAAGTCAACATAAATTAACAACCATGCACACATTCCTGATCACCTAACCATGTGTTGCTGCAAACACGTGAATATTTATCAACATGTTTACTCCACACTCCAGTTCACTTTTGAGCTTTTTTTCCAGGAAGTGTAATAAAATGAAGTAGATGTTGTTGAAGTTGCCCCTCACCTTGATGTTGTGGGTGTACTGGGAGTGCTGAGGGAGGAGTAGGATGTGACTCCGTTCCTAAAGGAGAAAAACAACAGTCAAAAAAGGAGGGGAACTCTAAGAGGACCCATTAGTCACCCAGTTACCTGAAACCTGATACGTTAGCCTCATGGCATGAACAGCGAGCAGTACCCTCTTAAGTAAGACTGCAGGTGCAACACATGACTGATCCTAATTAAAGACATCTGTGGAATTCATGCAATTATGAAACAGCCGTTTGTTTTATTTTGATTATTTTAAGCTTTAATCCTAATATTAAAACATATATATGGAAATCTGCAAACTTAAATATCTGCCTTGATGCTCTTCCCCCTGTAAAACGTTGCACTATTCCTCTCTTTTGTCATATAATTATATATTTCCACATGTATTCATGTCAGATATATGTTTTGCTTGCCTATATGTAGCAACTTATAAACAAAGCAAATTCCTAAAAAAAAAAACACTACTCCGCAACTAAGCTTTTTCTGATTCTGAAATGACATAATGCCTTGAAAACACGTCTGCACCGCTTGAATGTTTCCAAATTGAACCACGTTGCGGCCACAAACCTCAGTGTGTTTTCTATGAATCTATGCAGTAGAACACCAGAAAGCAGTGATGGGGAAAGGACATAAAAGATGCATGAAATGTTTTTAGTGTTTATATCTGAAAGGACACAGAAAAAAAATGAACTGCCAGCATTTACCTAAGTTTCAAACAGAATCTAATTCAATCTGGTAAAATAAAGCTGTTTTTTTTAAGGCCTTGTATAAGTGGACGCGTTAAACACTTGTTAACAGATGTTTCGACCAGACAGAATAAACTGAAACTGAAAAAAAAAGATAAATAAGGGTAATTCTGATAGAGAAGCTTACAGAGGCTGCATTAGAAAAAATGCAAGTGGTGTGAAAATGTTGTTTGTTAAAAAACTTATTATACTAAGACATCTCCCAAAGCAGAAGAGCGTAGCCAAACTCAGACACAATCAACCTTTCCCTTTTTATCCTTTCCTCATATAGAGAGAAAACTGATTGTCCCATAACTAACAAATCGGATGGTTTTGGATGTGTTGTTACACAAAGTAAAGGAAAATATCAAAGCAGAGCAGTGGCACAGAAAGAAAAGATGAAGTACTGCAAAAAGGTATGAAGGAGGCAATAAGAAGGGATTAATAGACCTGCTACTGTGATTGTGCTGAAAAAAAAAGCATAGAGCTGGAAAACCAAAGTGAGAACTGCAAATAAGTGCAGATTATCAGTCTAGAAGAGCTAAAGAGAAGTAAGGAGAGCTACATGAGGAGGGGGAAATTATAACTGGATTAGAGCCGGGGTGCAGAGCTGTGAAGGGAAGGAAGTGAAAAGAACTGGTGAAAAAAGGAAGGTGATGAGCAAGAAAAGTGGTGCTGAAAGAAATCCAAGTTGGTGGGAAAAATAAAAATACAAAAACAAGAAACGGAAGAGAAAAAAAAGTGATGGTAAGAAAAGATGAAGAAGAAGCCGGAAGTCGTGAGGAGCTCTGCTCGCCGTCTGACCTGGGAGGTGTTGCTTTTGGTGACTCTTCACTGCGTTTAGCCTGAGCAGACTGTGCCGTATCTTCGTCGAGATCATATGAGAAGAGGTGGAAGGGCGAGTGGGGCAGGTAGGGCAAACGGTCGGGGGACGGACGGGAGCTGCCGCGCAGCGGGGGGCTGACTTCCTTGGTTGCAGGGACGGTGACAGTTGACCTTTTCCTGGCCAGCAGGGTGGCTAGGACGGAAGGCTGGGACTGGGGGCTCAGGCTATGGGGCTCTGGAGGAGGGGGCTTGGGGCTCGAGGGGAGTGATGAAGATGTTTGGATTATTTCTGCCCGATTCTTCCGGTCACTGTCGCTTCTAGTCGCTTTTCTGGAGGTGATGGTGATGGACTGAAGCGTGGTCCTGTGAACAGTGGATGTAGGGCACGCAGCCCTGGAATAGAGGATTACAACGAAAGGGAAAGTCTCAGAAAACATAGCTAGAGAGATTTAAGATGGGGACATTATCACCAAAACTACCACAAAGGCTGACTAACTGTAAATCAAACACACATTTACGATAATTTCATTTACTTCATTCATGACACCCCTACACAAAAACATGAAAACTGCTCTATGTTACACTTCTATGTTGCCACCAAGTCCTAAAATACCTGGAGGTGGTCTGATAAGCCCCCTCCCTCTCATCCGAATCAGATTCAGTCACAGGAGTCTCTTCTTCCTCCTCCTCCTCTTCCTCCAGGCCACATTCCTCCTCTCTATAGAGGTCAGTGGGTGGTCCAGGAGGGAAATGCATACATGACGGAAACATTGAGGGGAGAGATTGAGGAAGAGATGATGTGATACACGAGAACGTCATGCAAACGGACATCTCAAAGGAGATTAATGAGGTGGATGCATAGAAATGATGGTTAGATGTGTTCTAATGACCTTATTGGCTTAGAGACAATGAACCAGGATGTGACAAATCATTTGATTCAGAAGGTTAGAAACAAATCTTATAGTGGGAAAACAGTTTATGATAAGAGTTTCCATTAAGATGCACATGAAGACAAGTTATGAGGAAAGGGAAGAATGAATGGAAGACTGACTGGAGACCAGTTTGGGCACTAATCTGCCACCGGATTAGCCTTGTTGCCGTCGAATTGATGCATGCAGCCACACCATCGGATCCATCTGTTTGACCAATGGGATGACCAATCGCTGAGGTTTATTTTCTCAAAGGTATTCACAGCTCTTGAACTTTTTCCATCCTTTGTCACGTTACAACTACAGACTCCAATGTAATTAATCAGCAGAAGGTAGTGGACATTTTGAAGTGTCGCAATGTCCATGTAATAATTTATGCTATAACAGCTTTCATAATCTAGAGCCTGAAATCTATACTCATTTTCTTTGCAAAATAGCTCAGACTCAGACAGATTTTATGAACATCAGTTTCTATGTCTTCCCTTACATTCCACTGGAGCGTGTGGTTATCGTCCTGCTGGAATAAAAACCTCCACCCTAATTTTCAGCAGCCTCTAGAAGGTTTTTTTTTTTTTTTTTAGCATTGCCTTATATTTAAGCTTTAACATTTTTCCCATCATCTGTGACCAACTTGTTTATTCTTGTAAAAAAAAAAAAGCTTCCCCAAAGCATTATGCTGCCACTACCATGCATTATGGGGTTCAGTTTAAGGTGGCGTTTAAGTTCATTTTAAAAAGATCTATATTTATATGTTTAGGATGTCCATCACTGTGTTAACTCTGACTGGCTGCAATGAAATTTAGATTTTGGTTTACAGCACATATTTGCAAGGCCATCTAGTGGGTTGTGGCAAACCCCAACCAGAAATATTTTTGTTTTTCCTATTAATTTTTTTTTTTTTTTTTTTGGACATCCTTCCAGAAAAGTCTGATTTGTGTTCAGTCCAGTATTTTCCTCCTGATTCTCCCTCCTCAGCTGTGCATTTTACTTTGGTGCAGAGGAGCACAACTGACTTGTTTTCTATTTGATTTGATTTCTATTTCGAAAACAAACAAAAAAAAATATGACAATAATGCTCCTTCTCTTATGAAATGTTCAATTGGTTTGTGGCAATTTATGCAGATATATCCTAGAATCCAATCAAAATACACTCAGGTTTGAAGTTTTAATGTGATAAAATGTGTAAAAGTTCAGGAGACACGAGTAATTTTGTGTATAATATTACATAATTAAGTCATAAACATAAACTCAAACACATAAGATACCAAAAAAAGAGAAAAAACACTGAAATTGATGTCATCAGGATTTTCCCTTCATTTTTTTTTTAGATCGACGTTAATCCTCGTGTGCCGAGTTTACATTTTCAAAATATTTGTGGTTTGGACCATAATCTTCTTTGGTCATGTGACTGGTTGAAAGAGGATGAATAGATGGGTGGGAGATATTTACTGAGACTGGAAAAAGGCTACAGAGGGTGAGGTGTGGCAGAGTGAAATTTGATAAACCAGCCAGAATCCCATCAGAACTGCATGTATGGAGGAAAAAGTGCACAGCACTGCAGTAACACTGCACTGGTTTAAAGGAGTGAAGACTGGGGTTAGATTCACCAGAAGAAGGAGATCCACACCGTTAATGTGGTGCTGGAGGGAAGGGGAGGACTCTGTTACGTCATCTATGTGAGGAGCAGCTGATGTGGTTCCTAGGAATGTTTGAACTTACATGGATGGAAGGAAACCTGACAGTGCTCTGGGGTGGAAAGTGGTCAAACTATCAGATCTCATCCTTGGATTCACATTTGTCTTTAAAAGACCATCTTTCACTATCTGTAACTCTTCCGCCCTCCTGTTTAGAGTGCTCTCACCTCTCGCTCAGGTCCTCTGCTCGGTGTCCGCTGAAAGGCTGGAAGCCAGCCCTCTGAGGAGATGCGGGGCTGCAGGGGGAGGCCTGTCCCGATCTCCCCAGAGAGGCCCGACGGCTCCGACGCCTCTCCAGGCCTCTATGCTTCTCCGCTCCCCCCAGGCTGATGGGTCGACGTTCCCGGCATCCTGTGGGTGGCGGCTGGCTGTCGTCATCGCCATCCTCATGTCGTAAAGTCATCTGGGAGAGAGGTTGTTGTTAAAGGAGGAGTGAAAAAAACATTCCCCTCCTCTGGATCACAGGGTTGGATCGACTGCAATACACACAGCTTAAGGCAGATGTAACTGATTTGTTTCGTACCTCATAAATGTTGAGCTGCTCCACCAAGTCCAGATCGGTGCCTTTCCTTCCCAGGTGTCTTTGGGATACCGTCTCCATGCCTTGTTCCTCCAGACTATCCACCATATCGTAGAAGGAGTCCTGGTCAGGCAGTGCAGCAAGCGTCTGGAGCAGACGAGAGCAGAAGTCACAAGATAAAAAGATATCGGAATTTCCGAACTATAGAGCGCACCTCACTATAAGCTGCGCCCACTACATAAAAAAAAATGGAAACTCTAATTTAATGCTCTTTTAATGCTCTTAGAAAAAAATGGAATGCCCTCAACAAGTACCCATGACTCTCATATATATCACAGCAAAATCCTTTGTTATCTTTACTGCCGATAGGCTATTCCTCGTTTTCCAGCCACTTTTGTTGAAATGTGGATTTTCCCATTGTCTAGCTTTTTCTTGAGCTTCTTTTCCGAACATACGGCTTTACGATGAACCGGAAATCCACGCAAATATATCGCGGTATAATATATCGGACAAAATTTTTTTCAAATAAAGAATTTTAAATGCCACAATAATCACATTTAATGATTTTTAATGCCAATTAAGGCCTTCACAACTATGTTTATTAATTCATTTCAAGTAAATAAATTAAAATAAACAATGGGGAACTAACAGGCAATTACTGGATTACTGCCGCTAATACAGGAACCAGTTCAATCAAATCCTGTGCAAACCACTCTGTGTATGAATACTTGGTAAAAGGCTGAGGATTAAAAAATCTTAACTCATTATCTTATTAGTTTTTATTACAATTGTTTAGCAAACAGTTAAACAATTCAGACCTTCTGGGAGGCTGTAGATGGCTGCAGCGAATGATTATTTTGCAAATAGACTACCGTTTTTTCCTTTAGATAATTTAGCTTATTTAGAGCAAAAATATGAGAAACATCTAGCGATATTATAAAGTTAAACTGAAGAACAATCGCTAGTTAGCTTGGGAATAAAGTTTATTTTTAAGGCTTGTATATCTTTACTTCGGTGGGTGAAGGAGTTCAGTATACATCAGAGAAGCTCTGCCTACCTTGTTAATGAGCGTCATGGCATAGACCAGCAGCTCCGTGTCCACTCCATCTTTCTCTTGCAAGATCTCCATTGCATTGGACCAAGGCTTGCAGCCTGGATGTCCCCACAACACAATTATTCATCACAGCCCAAAAAAAATCACATTAACATTTAACCCAAACCCAATAATATGAGGTCCCAGCAGCTAATATTAAGCCTCTAATGAATTTATTGTGTTCTGTACCTCTCTTTGTGTCCACAGAGGCGATGGCCTCTATGAGCAGCGGGGCGTTGGACTCAGAGTACTCCACAAACACCAGCAGCAGCTTCAGAGCCGTTTTTACCACCAGACGAAACTAAAAGGAGCAAAACAAAACATGTTTGGAATTTTACCTCTTTGGATTTACATTTCTGAAAAGTCAGCGCGCAGTATTTTTATTTATTTATTAATTTAATTGGTGGCTCTGGGCCCCTAGGCTAATTCCTGCACTCTTTTTTTATTCACGTCTTGGCAATTTCTCCCCTCCTGCTTTTCATTTTTTCCAAAAAATTAAACCATTTAACTCCCTTAAACATAATTGATCAGTTTTATAAATCAGCTGTTTGTACTCTTTGATAAATTTAGGAGATAAATAGTCATACACTGGAAAAACGATCTAAAAATAAGTAAAAATTTCCTAAATTAAGTCTATTTACCCTTAATTTAAACAGAGTTTGCCAACGGAATGAGTATTTTTACTCTTAAAATAAGATAATTATATATTACATGCCCTTGAAATAAGACAATGCAATTGAATTTTCTTATTTTAAGTGTAAATTGTCTCGTTCCATTGGCAAAATGTCTCTTTTTCCTCCTCAATCCAACAAAAAATGCACTTATTTTAAGAGAAAATGATAGACTTTTTCCTGTGTAAAAATTCTCAAATTTCATGTATTCTAATATCACTACAGTACAGTCTGATACCTGTCTTGTTTAACTATATTGAAAAGATAAACTATAATCCATATTAAAACCAAATTAGCCCAGAAATGAATCCCAAAAACCATCTATGGTGATACAGTGGAAGATGACTCCTCTTCCTTCCTTTTGAAAGTTAGAAATGCATTTAACTGAATTCTGAAGCCGACTTTTTTATATTCAGTTTGGTTTCTGCCTTTAAGACATGATTTATGAATTGAAAACAAAGAAAACAGACTTCCTTTAGCTGCTTGTTTATTTATTTATGTTTTTTTATGCATTGCTACTTTGGGAAGACATAAGCTTGTACACAAATACAAGTTGCAGCGATTTACCTTCTCAGGAATAAGAAAGCTCCGTAATGCATTTCAGAATGGAAAGATAGTCTAAAGATAAGCTATTGCAAGGTTTATTTTAATGATATGATTAAAGTTATGGTTAGGAAAGTAGTTGTTATGGTGAAACAGATTCCTTACAGGGTCTTTTTATTACTCCATACCGCATGTTCGTTCAGTTCACTGCATATATTTTATTATCTGTAATCAGACTCTCTATATAATCAACAAAAGAAAAAAACATGAACCACGTCAGCTGAGGGCAAAGGCTCCTCTCACAGATTTGTTTGTTTGTGTTTTTATATTTTTTTGCACAGCTGCTAAAAATACGTTTTCCCAAACAATGGGCGGTTGTTCAAAGATAATGACAGCCTGCAGCCCTTTTTTCCACTTTCTCTTTTCGTGCCGTACCTTTGAGCCAACCAGAGCGTAGAGCCACTGGATCGTCTCCGGATGGCTGATGACACCGTTCATCCCGTCCACGTACAGCATGATCTGCCCCAGAGCTGCCAAAGGATAAAAAGGATACACAGTCTTAGATGACAAGCAATGGAAACCAAACAACTAACATTGCTTCTGACAAAACACAGTTTAATCTTACACTTTTTTTTAACCTAGTTTTTCCCCTTTCAATAGATGCTACATAAATACAGGTGCTGGTCATAAAATTAGAATATCATGAAAAAGTAGATTGATTTCAGTAATTCCATTTAAAAAGTGAAACTTGTATATTATATTCATACATTACATACAAACTCATATATTTCAGATGTTTATTTTGTTTAATTTTGATGATTACAAATGACAACAAATGAAAATCTCAAATTCATCATATCAGAAAATTAGAATATTACTGAAGACCAATAAAAACAAAGGATTTATAGAAATGTTGGCCAACTGAAAAGTATGAACATGAAAAGTATGAGCATGTACAGCACTCAGTATTTAGTTGGGCCTCCTTTGGCCTGTATTACTGCAGCAATGCGGCGTGGCATGGAGTCGATCAGTCTGTGGCACTGCTCAGGTGTTATGATAGCCCAGGTTGCTCTAATAGTGGCTTTTAGCTCTTCTGAATTGTTGGGTCTGGTGTATTGCATCTTCTTCTTCACAATACCCCATAGATTTTCTATGGGGTTAAGGTCAGGAGAGTTTGCTGGCCAATTAAGAACAGGGATACCATGGTCCTTCAACCAGGTACTGGTAGCTTTGGCACTGTGTGCAGGTGCCAAGTCCTGTTGGAAAATGAAATCTGCATCTCCAAAAAGTTGGTCAGCTGCAGGAAGCATGAAGTGCTCTAAAACTTTCTGGTATGTGGCTGCGTTGACCCTGGACCTCAGAAAACACAATGGACCAACACCAGCAGATGACATGGCACCCCAAACCATCACTGACTGTGGAAACTTTACACTGGACTTCAAGCAACGTGGATGAAGTGCCTCTCTTCTTTTCCTCCAGACTCTGGGACCTTGATTTCCAAAGGAAATGCTAAATTTACTTTCATCAGAGAACATGACTTTGGACCACTCACCAGCAGTCCAGTCCTGTTTCTCTTTAGACGCTTCTGACGCTGTCTGTGGTTCAAGAGTGGCTTGACACAAGGAATGCGACAGCAGAAACCCATGTCTTTCATACGTCTGTGTGCGGTGGTTCTTGAAGCACTCACTCCAGCTGCAGTCCACTCTTTGTGAATCTCCCCCACATTTTTGAAGGGGTTTTGTTTCACAATCCTCTCCAGGGTGCGGTTATCTCTCTTGCTTGTACACTTTTTTCGACCACATCTTTTCCTTCCCTTCGCCTCTCTATTAATGTGCTTGGACACTGAGCTCTGTGAACAGCCAGCCTGTTTAGCGATGACCTTTTGTGTCTTGCCCTCCTTGTGCAAGGTGTCGATGGTCGTCTTTTGGACAACTGTCAAGTCAGCAGTCTTCCCCATGATTGTGTAGCCTATAGAACTAGACTGAAAGACCATTTAAAGGCTTTTGCAGGTGGTTTGAGTTAATTAGCTGATTAGAGTGTGGCACCAGGGGCCATCAATTTTGAACCTTTTCACAATATTCTAATTTTCTGATATGATGAATTTGAGATTTTCATTTGTTGTCATTTGTAATCATCAAAATTAAACAAAATAAACATCTGAAATATATGAGTTTGTATGTAATGTATGAATATAATATACAAGTTTCACTTTTTAAATGGAATTACTGAAATCAATCTACTTTTTCATGATATTCTAATTTTATGACCAGCACCTGTAAATATTTATAATCTGTCTGATTTTTGACAACATCTTTTTAGTTTTCTTTTCAATTAATACAAACTATTTGTTTGTTTTTGTGTTGTCTCCCTTCCTCCAACAGGAGGCGCCTGGTTCCGGTCCGCCTCCTCACACACCTGCTGACGGTTACCTCGTTAACGGAGTACTCTGCTGATCTGAGCTGCTGATTGTCGCTACTTGACGCCAGAGTGTTTGCCAGTTTTGGGTACTCTAGCCAAGTTGAGTTTTCGATGAGTAAGCCTCAGTTCTTATCTACCTGAGTTTTAACTTTGTTTTTTGTCTTTGCCTCTCGGCAGGAATTCATCCTGCAAACTGGGCCTTTTCGGACCTCCACTCCCAGGAAGGATCAACTGAGCCAGGGATTCAAACAGGAGGTTTGTATCCAGTCTCCTTGAGAGATCGGTGAAATTACTCTCTGAGCAAGGGAATCATCTTCACTACGACCCGTTCAAGTACAGCAGGAAATCTGAGTGGCAATCAGCGTCTCCGTTCACCTACACCGTCCGAGTTCTGGGTAAACCCTGTTCCGCCCTCCACCGAATCAGACAAGCTCCGGAAAACAACACACAGATTGCAGTCAAAGATCCTTTACTTCTCTGGAAACATGAGTCATCAACCAGATCCTCTTCTTCAAATCAACAAATGAAATTTCCTACTCAGCCTGAACTAATAGTCTGCCTTCCTCTCACCTTCCAGTTCCGGCAAAGCAGAGTTCAGAGCAACACTGCACCGAGCTGAATCTCTTCAATAAAATCTGTTAAACTTTTCATCTGTGTGTCTCTGTTTGGTTTCTCTGCATGTGGGTCCGAGCTTTAGATAAATCACGACAATGTTAGCTATTTGCCATTACATTGTAACTGGTTTTTACTTTAGATTTGATCACAAATCATTCAGCAAAAAAATTTAGGATATTTTATTTTTTGAGACAATCCTTAATGGGAATAAATGTTTTAATGCTGAAAAGCCTGCCTATGTCACCTTAAATCCAACTGTTTGGTGACTGTCTGGCTTTTGTAACTAAGAAAACTTAGTTGAATTCCTTTAATCTAATGAAAACTTAACATTAATCTGTAACATACCTAGATTTGCTAACTATTTGTGTCTACTATATCTATTTGCTATATTTCTTTTGTCATATCTTAATATTGATAACTGTTATACTCTTAGTTTCATATAGGATTGCATATACCTAGTAACACACCCTCTAAATTAGTTAAATTGTTTTTTTTTTTTTTGATCAGTTTCATGTCTGCTGTTAACCTCTTTAAACCACATGTTGCACCAATATGTAAACGTGTTCATGAATTAAAGTTTAACTAAACAATATTTTAAACAGTAGTGACAGCAATAAACAGAAGTCCTTTATTTTATCTCCAATCCCAGAACAACTATTTCCTTCTTAACAAAGTGCTTACCAGTCAACCAGCAATGAACTTTAACCGCAGTCTACATGGCTGTATGAGGATGAGCCAGAAATAAAAAAAAGTAATTATGCACTTGTTATAAAGAATCTAAGTAGCACCAAATAATTCAAACCAACTTAGGTTTATATATGTACATATATTCCCTCTTTCAAGTGCTTAAAATAAACACTGACCCTGTAGCTACCTGTCTTAATAAACTTTCTGTTTATTACACTTGTTTTGCCTCTACTTGTTCAAATAAACATCAGAAAAGGTTAGAAAATAGTGTTTGAATTACTGCAAAAGCGATATATCTAAAAAAAAACAACCCTGCAAAACTAAAACCAAAAGAAAACCTTAATGGCGGTACCTGTAAATAAGTAAATTAAAGAAATGAGAGGCACCTGATTTACTCCTTGGGACAATTTTCCAAGATCTTTACTTATGATCACAAACAGTCAGAAAGCTAAATATAAATTACAGCATTAGCTGTTACTTTGCTTCTTAGGTTTTTCAAGGTCAAAACATTGTTAGCCGTTTGTTAAAGCGAAAATAAAATAAAACACTGCAATAAATAGTTGAAGGGGGAAGAGGAAAATCCCATCATTCCCCACGAGTGACGCATGTGAATGTCAACAGATACATTTTTTTACAATGAAGCAATTCTATGACAATGTGAACATTGATACCCCTCATGGGAATGAATTATTTTTAGTCTATCATTAAATGATATTTTACTTCTTTTTTTTTTTACAACACTTAAGTCCTTTAAAAAAACAGGTTTAAACTGCTTTTGGTGTTTTTTTCAACCTTAGTTTCATCTGATCATAAAATTTTACTATCAGACACAGATAATCCAAGCTATAACAAGCCATAGATAAACATATTCAGATTTCTCAGAAGCGATAATCCCAGTGAGGTAAAGCCACATCTTACAGAAAGCAAACAATAAAACTTAACAATCCTTCTGGGAAAACACACAATTATGATCTTATTACTTTATGTATGTAACAGTATAATGCAGTTGCATTAATAGTTGACTAATACAGTTATTTATTTTTTCTTTATGTAAAATATCAGACCAGTATAATATGAGTAATTACATATAGCAGTTTGAAATCCTGGTTTTATTTAAGTGAACAAAGTAACTACTCTTATTCTTAACTAAAAAAATTATAAATCACCACATAGTTTGGAAATATAAAATTAAATCCATGCACTTCCTCAATAAAAGCACAATTATGTAGGTATGCATGAAGCTACAACTGGTGTGAAACTAACAAGTGATGGGAATGGGCCGCTTTTCTGCTTTGGAATGTCGACCTACTGCCATTCAGCAGAGAAACCTGAAATCTGTCCATCAGTATACGATAAGGTGACCAGATTTCTGAAATGCAATCTGGGGACATTTCCAGCTTGTAGACAAAAATAAATACATATTATCAAAATTAAAATAGGAAACAGGGACAGTAATGGTATCATAAATTTTTGCATATTTATTAATATTTAAAAAAACAAAAATCAAGTGTAAATTCAGGAATACGCTTCTTCTATTTTCTAAGATTGATAAAATTAATCAATCAATAGTGTTTCTTAGTGCCATCTGGTCTTTCATTCTTCTCTGTCTGCTTTGCTCTGCATCTTTTCTTTCTAGCTGACATCTACCTGCTCTCTGTTTTACTCTTCTAAATAGATTTTTCCTGCTTCTTTTCAACTGTTATTTCTACCAGCGTTCCTATTTTCTTCTATTCTCATTCAATCTCCTTCAGTCTTCTAATTTCTTCCTATCTTCGTCTATCAATCCTACACTAAAACTAAAAACTAAAAC